CTTACCCCTCACTTCGGGACGGCTTCCGTCTGCGACTTGCCTTTTCCTCTAGCCTCTTCCTGCCTTCATGGAGCTTGTGGATAATGAATTAGGCTCATGTCCGCCGTCTTCGGTCAACGTCGCGAGAGAGCTGGCGGTAGCATGAACGCGCCCGGGCTCCCTCAGGCAGGTGACTCAGTAAGTCTCTGATAGATTGAGGAAACAAGCCGCGCTTTTGCAAAGGCCCAGAACTTGCGAGGGTACACAAACACAAGCATCCCACGCCGTTTCCAGGTGATGGTGTGTAGCATAGGACAATTGTGGAATCCTGGCGACTGCAGAGGAGCAGGACTGACCAGGGGGCCCACGCCGCCGACTGCTGGTCATTGGCCCGTGGCTTCACGATGAGGTCTTGCTATCCAACCAGGTGACACCCTCAGATGCTGGCAACCCGGCTCGAACCCCAGACCGGCCTGCAAATCAGTGGCTGGCTTGGCATTTCTGGATGTCTCACCCCACTTTCATGTCAGATGCAAGTCGCTGCAAGTCGCCCAAATGTGTCTCCGCCGTCGAGCGTCTTTCCCTACCCTGGCCTCTACCCTCCATACTTCGTAGTACCGTCTTTCGCATCCATCTGCCATCGGCCTTGCGAAGCTGCGGCCTGCACACAAGCCGGTAGGTATGACACTACCTCGCTTCTTGCTTGGCGATGCGACGCTGCAAGAAACATGGGCCTCTTATCTCCTCGTGTTAATGCGGCTTGTATCTTGAAAGGCCCCTATCGCTCTCCCAACTCGACTAAGTTGGTCTGTAGATACGGGCTGGCCTGTCTCTGTCTCTGTCTCTGTCTCTCTTTCTCGCTTGCTTTCGCCTCCTCAGTGTCTCTGGGCGTTTTGCTCCGGTTAGCTCGCCAAAGCCAGTTAAGTAGACGGGCGAACACCCTCAAACAACAAGGTGCCCCGGCTTGGTGTATAGTCGCCCGCCCTCCTTCGGCAGTCTCAAGGTTGGCGTCTGCCTGCACACGGTATTGACTGGCTACAAGGTGTACACTCCACGATCTGGGATTCATTCTGCCAGCCTACCCACTCACCCATCGAGAGCGCACAGAGGTTTAGGCTTACCTGCTCACTCGTTGCTTGCGCATACCACAGCAGCGTGGATGAATCCCTGCTACCCGCTCTTGCAGGCTTGTGGAAGCCTGCAACTAACATTAGTCGAGTTGAGAATCAGCCCATCCGGTCCTACTGTATAGACCCTTAAGCTGCCTTTTATGTCATCAACGCTTCAGTGATGGCTTCTCGCTCCATACCGATGCATACGGGTCCTGTCCCTGCTGCGTCCTAAGTACCGGTATACTACGACGACTAGGCAGTACCCTTCACCCTCCAGATACTAATATATCGTGCATGCTCTAGTATCATAGCGGCCGCGTCAAGAGGAGATGACGTAATAAGCGTGAAGCCGCGGATGCGCACGGCTAAGTAGGCGCACAAGCGCATTAGCGAGGACTGCTTGACCTTTGGGGAGACTGGCTCCTGGCACAATGACACCAATGACACCAATGCGGCTTGCGTACATGCGCTCTCTGGTGGATGGATAGATCTCGGAAGCTTAATTAAACCTTCCCTGGTTGATCTTCTCTGGTCCAGTTGCGTTCAGGGAGCTACTACGAAGTATAGTGGCCGCCCGTTCTGCCATGGCGCCGCACCAGCATGGCTTATCCGGAAAAGGGGGACAGACACAGAGCGCGCGCACGCATCGTGGCACAGCATTCTCGGGTGATATTTCCAGACGCCTGGCTGTATGTGCATGCGTTAGAGCTACTGCTGGCTGCTGCTAGTCTATGACTATTCACCTGTTCTCCGTGCCTCGACCTGATGGTTGGTCACGTTGAAATGAAATATGCATACGTATCCTTCACTACCTACAAAATCACACGCTCGCTTGACCGAGATAATATTACCGTTGCTCACCGTGTCTCGAACATAAGCGAACATCGTGCCTGGCCCCACCCAGGCTGCCGTGGTCACCATCTACTTAGATAGGATTCAGGACTCCTGGGGGATGGGGGGATTCCCACATGCTTTATGGAAACACCACAGTAGTCAGAATTAGCACTACAACCATATGGGAGTGAAAGAGTCTATTTTGCATGGTCTATACTGCCTAGTACAGTACATTCCCCATTTCGATGGCTCTATGATCGACTGCGACATGGACCAATGCTCCACCAGGTCGCCGCCACAGAGGCCACCAGCTAAAGACGGTATCCTATTCAGACTCCCCGCCGATACATACATCACATTAGCTGTGCGATGGCTTCACTGCTTCGATACAAGATGTCAAAGTTCCTCGTTCCGCTGTCGCCCCAGAGCAAGTAGCGGGTAACTCCAGCGAAATCAGGCCATCTCGCCAATCTACCTCGTCACGCGCCCCAGGGTATTACACAAATACAGGGGTCAGAGAGCCGTCGAACCATACCGCTACTTTCGAGATGGTTTCCACAAAGTGAGGTTGAATTAGAGATCTCGTCGATCTCAGGACAGCAGGCTCATGCCCGACACTCTCCTCGCCACGCAGGCTATTGCCGGTCTCGGTGGCACAGCTTCTCTTATCGTGCGTATGGTTGTAGGACATGCAGTTAAGGTGCCTTAGCGTCATATTGCACAAAGATCGATCATGCGAATGCTGCGCGATGTGAGGATGCCTTCGCTTGCCATCACTCATTTGCTCGTGAAAGCTCAGCTGTGTCAGACAATAAATCGTATGTGGTGACTACCTACCTAATGTATGTTCGTGTCCCCCTCCCCCCCACACCACACCCGCAGACGTATATAGATACACATACATACACACACATACGCATGCACGCATTTCATAGTATATACACACGCACACACACACTGGTAAGATAAACGCGCGTAGAGCGTGGGCTTGCTCGCTCGCTTGCTTAGGCTAGGTGGCTGCATCAGTGCCACCGCCACAGGTCGATCGCAACGTGCTGCATGCTCTCGTCAGAAGAGACCAATATGGTAGAAGTGGCCGGTTGAATGTGGAATGGGCGTCGATCATATGACGAAAAGATACCCAGATGACAAGATATCCTGCTCTCGTATCCACTGACAAAATAAACAGTTATACAAACACAATAGACAAATGGATGGGCATACAAGTGCTCATCTGCATTGTTTTGATATCCTGTATCATGCTGTAACGGGCGTCGGTGGCGAACAAGCCATACCATCTACCTGCCTAATTACAACCTTTCCTTGTTGCACCGTACTATCAACAGAACACGGCCGAGACAGTAGATACGAGCAGAACAGACTAGACAGGACCGGAGCGAATGCCGGCGTTGATTTTGGAGTCTTTGTGGACGGGGAAAGGGAGCTACTGTATGAACTACGGCATACTCCTTCCCCTATCTACCACCTACATTGCCATACCCCGTCAAAACCACGTACTTGAACCCCCAATACAGGTAAACTAAGAGTCAGCGGGCTTCCCAAGAGCCCGCACTGAAGAGGGGGGTGACGAGGGGCACGCTCCGGATAAGATACACACTGCCTAGGTACTGTAGATGCAAGCAAGCGGAAAGAGGGGAGAGAGAGGAGGGGAGAACAGGCAAGTGTAAGAAATCTTAGTGGATTATGGATGTGCGAAAGTGGCCTCGTGATGTTGCAACGCGCCGCGCCGGCTTGCCGTCCGCGATGGAGATCGTTGCAAGTTGATTTACAGAATAACTCGCATACCGCGTTTCCCAAATCCTCTACCCTCGTCTTGGACACTGCTCGTCTACCTGGGTACCTGCTTGCCTACAATCCTCCATACCTACTTACTGGTAGCACATCGGACCATATGTCCGCAAGACAGCAGAAGCAACAGCAACTGGATTTTGTTATCCCAATCTGCACCTTACAGTATACAGTAAGCACACATACATATGTACATACATAACATCCATCTGTGGGTGCATGTGTATCGTGTGTAGGTACAGCATGTAGTACACGAAGAAGTTGTATCCGTGGAGATGCTGTTTCTCTCTTCTAACCACGCCACAACAGGACACGATATGGTATGATATGACTATGGCTATGACTGGCGACTGCATAGGGCCAAGTGGGCGACAATATGTAGACGCACAGTAATGCTGCAAGGCTGTGGATATGTCTTGGTCATCAACATAAACAAAACAAAAAGGGAGAGGGGAGGAAAGACAGAAATATGAAAAATCTGGTCGTGGAAGTGAAACGTTTCTTCCTTGATTTGACACGACGTTCATCAGGAAATCGTGAAGTCGCGTTACCTAGTTTCCTGCATGCCTGCCCACGACACACATCTTGTGGGCATGTAAGTAGGCTGTATGCCAACTGCTGATAGCACATAACAATCAGGTCTTCGTATATATGCGGCCCTGGATCTCCTGATGCGCCCTGGCGGAGTAGATAGGTATGTTGCTTCATGTCAAAGACGAGGTATTCTATTCTACCTCGCTCAATAGGTGGATGGAGTCATTGTTTTCAACGATGAAATACACATAGCGTAGACAACAGATATATGTGCGTGCGTACCTGATGCTGTAAATAGCCTATCAATTCGGCCTTGTCTGACCTGATCCCGGATCGCGGAGATTTTTTTTTTTTTCTCTTTGAGAATGCCAGCGAATAGAGGCTTTTGTAATCCAGTGATTTGGCTTCCAACCGTTTTGCATGATGGCGGACAGCAGCCGCGACGATGCGCTGAAACCTGGCCGTTATTGCCTAGGTAAGTACCTATAGTGACAGGGTCTGACAGGGTAGGTACATGCAGATGCACTACTGGTACGCTGCGTAGTGCACAGTAGCACGGAGCGCACAGACCAATGCGGGCCGTTGGCGGCTGGCGCTGCGACACCATTAGACGACTGTGGGGCTCACAGCAGACTCACAGCAACCCGCGGCAGATTCCAAACAGGCGCCCGTCAGACGACAGACAGCGCGTCTCAGTCCCACATCTATAGGATAGGTACTTTCGTGCCGCTGATTTGTCCAAACTACCGCTATCAGTATATTTTTGACGCTATCAAGGTACAGGCTACAGGTACCTAGGCTGACCCGATCCGCCGTCTACGTCAAAACTCTGAATTGCATACGGCGGCGCATCCATATCGAATCCAACTAAGTGGTTTCATCGCCGTCATCAAGCTGGCCAGGTAGTCATCGCCACTCTACAAGCTGGCAGGTTGAGGGCAATTGAGCGCCAGAGCCGTGAAATCATCTTAAGTAGCTCCTCAGTGGGTGCGGGAAACGTTGAGTTAGAGGCAGGAACAGACTGAGAGAGAAAGGCGCATACAAGATCTAATACGACGGCACCCGACGATTACAACTTAATTCCAAGATGACGAGTCTCAAGAGATCCGTAAATACAGAGTCCAGCCTCTCTAGCAAGGTCTATGTGAGATCCACCAAAAGCGGCAAGGTTCAGAAGATCGTCCGGGAGGTCTACTTGAGGCAAGACATTCCTTGCTCTTCGCGGCTCTGCTCCAAATGCCTTGCTTCTGCTCCTAGAAGTGCTGCTGGCCTTAGTACGCTCACCTCCCTTCATTTGCCTTCTCGTTGGCCAAGGTCCAAGCTCACAATGACTGACTTGTATCACAGTGGCTCCTTTTGTCCTCTCGGATAAGCCCGCAGGTACCAAGGCATTCCCACAGGGTCATTACCTCGTTCCAGACACAAATGCCTTGCTTAATGCGATGGATTTGTTTGAGCAAGGCTCAGCCTTCTTTGACGTCATTATTTTACAGACTGTTCTTGAAGAGCTGCGGAACAGGTCCCTGCCGTTGTATAACCGCCTCATTGGGCTAACCAAGAGCCAAGAGAAGCGGTTCTACGTGTTTTTCAACGAATTCCGATTAGAAACATATGTAAATCGCGAGCCAGATGAGACAATCAATGACCGCAATGACCGCGCTGTGCGGCACGCGGTCAAATGGTACAATAACCATCTCGGCCAAACCACCTCCAAGGATATACCAGTCACAGTTATGTTATCTGATGATAGAGGTAATCTGGAAAAGGCAAAACAAGAAGAAGTTCCTGCTATCAAGCTGCGCGACTACGTCTCGGGTTTGAAGGACGCCGAAAGATTATTAGACATGATTGCCGAGTCACAGGAACGTGTCGCTTCCATAAACAAGAAGCCCGAATTCATTTACCCCGACTACTTTAGCTTGTCTAAAATGATGACAGGAATCAAGAGCGGCATGTTACATCAGGGAATATACAATGTTTCACCATACAACTATCTCGAGGGCTCAATCAAAGTACCCGCCTTCCCAAAACCCCTCCTAATCCTGGGCAGAGACAACATCAACCGTTCTGTGGATGGAGACGTAGTAGTGGTTGAAGTGCTGCCGCAAGATCAGTGGAAGGAGCCCTCTACAAAGATTATTGAAGAGGAAACTATTACAAAGAACGAGAATGCCGATAATGATGAGGATGCGGCAGATGTTGTAACAGACAAGGAAAGGCGTGCTCTCCAGGAACAAGTGAAAAAAACCCAAGGCTTGACTACCGAAGGAAGGCCACAGCCGACTGCCAAGGTCGTCGGCGTCATCAAACGGAACTGGCGCCAGTATGTTGGTCATGTAGACCCATCATCGGTTAGTCAAACGGCAAAGCAAGGTAGGAAGCAAGAAAGCGTATTTCTTATTCCAATGGATAAGAAAATCCCCAAAATTCGGATACGGACACGGCAGGCTGGTGAACTCCTCGGAAAGCGAATTTTAGTAACCATTGATTCTTGGGATCGTGAATCGAGGCACCCTGTTGGTCACTTTGTCCGCTCGCTGGGCGAACTGGAGACCAAAGCCGCAGAAACCGAGGCCTTGTTACTGGAGTATGATGTGCAATACCGTCCATTCCCTAAAACCGTTTTGGATTGTTTACCCAAGGAGGGCCACGACTGGAAAGTTCCTGCAAGCACAGACGATCCAGGCTGGAAAGACCGACAAGATTTAAGGGGTCTTCTCATCTGCAGTATCGACCCAGTCGGTTGCCAGGATATTGACGATGCCCTGCATGCCAGGCCACTACCAAACGGAAACTATGAAGTGGGAGTCCACATCGCCGACGTTTCCCATTTCGTCAAGCCCGCCAATGCCATGGACACCGAAGCTAGCATAAGGGGTACAACTGTCTACCTGGTCGATAAGCGAATTGACATGCTTCCAATGCTTCTTGGTACTGACCTGTGCTCCCTGAAACCCTATGTGGAGCGCTATGCTTTCTCTGTATTATGGGAGCTGAGCCCTTCTGCAGATATTGTAGACGTGCGATTCACCAAATCCGTCATAAAGTCGCGTGAGGCGTTCAGCTACGAACAGGCTCAGTTGCGGATCGATGATGCGTCGCAGCAAGATGATCTCACAAACGGTATGCGAACTCTGCTCATGCTCTCCAAAAAGCTGAAACAGAAGCGTATGGATGCTGGCGCGCTAAGTCTCTCGTCACCCGAGGTCAAGGTGCAGATGGAATCCGAAACTTCGGATCCCATTGATGTCAAGACCAAGGAACTGCTCGACACAAACTCGCTCGTCGAAGAGTTCATGTTGCTCGCCAACATCAGCGTGGCGCGCAAGATCTATGAGGCATTTCCACAGACGGCGATCCTACGGCGCCACGCGGCACCACCAAAGACCAACTTCGACGAGCTCGCGAACCAGCTGAAGGTGAAGCGCGGGCTAGAGCTCCGCTTCGACTCGTCGAAAGCGCTCGCCGACTCTCTTGATGCCTGCGCCGACCCTTCCGAGCCCTTCTTCAACATCCTTGTCCGTATCATGGCGACGCGCTGCATGATGAGCGCCGAGTACTTCTGCGCCGGCACGCAGGCGTACCCCGAGTTCCGTCACTACGGTCTTGCCTCGGAGATCTACACGCACTTCACTAGCCCGATTCGGCGGTATGCCGACCTCGTCGCGCACCGGCAGCTCGCGGCGGCCATCGACTACGAGGCGATGCACCCAGCGGTCCGCGCGCGGGGGCGCCTCGAGGCCATCTGCAAGAACATCAACGTGCGCCACCGTAACGCGCAGCTCGCGGGGCGCGCCTCCATCGCGTACTACGTCGGCCAGTCCCTCAAGGGCCGCGTCGCCGAGGAAGACGCCTTCGTCATGCGCATCTTCAGCAACGGCTTCGTCGTGCTCGTGCCGCGCTTCGGCATCGAGGGCCTCATCCGCCTGCGCGACCTCGCGGACCCGGAGCCCGAGACCGTCTTCGACCCGGAGACCTACGTCCTCAAGATGAGCGGGAGCTACGAGGGCGCCGTCGAGCTGTTCCAGAAGGTCCGCGTGCGTATCCGCGATGTCAAGGACGAGAGCACGGGGAAACGAGGCGCCAAGATGGAGCTTGTTCGGGCTGCGTGAGGAGTAGAGGGTAGGAGCGGTTACTCTGTAGACCTTTATTTAGGCTAGTACCTCTAGACAATGAACGGAAGAAACCGATGTCGGTGACAGACAACGCCTACAGTAGTGCGCGACGTTCAGGATATGATGCATAGGCAGTTAGCTGTGCGTGTGTGCCATATACCCTAGAAACCCAACCATACACGTAATAGATCGTATTATGATATATCGGGTGTCAGCGGTTTAACTTCAATTAATTCATATACACCGAGATAGATAGCCAAGCAAGGAAGCAAGCAAGTGTCCAGAGACCAAGCCACCAAATTATTTTATCTTCTAACCATGCTAAGTAAACAAATATTGTAGCCCCTTGAACCCTCAACTCCTTTCATTCGCTATCGGCGAATATGCGAGGAGACATGCAAATATTTATATCCTCTTTAGAAACCCTGCTTGAAACGTCCAAAGCCCCTTTCCATGCTTGCCGTGCTAATGCCGTAAATGCTCGATTCGTAGCGCTTCATCACTCGTGTTTTCTCATGCTGATAATCTATGAACCCTCGCCTCCTCATTTCTTCGCAATTCCATTAATTTTTGGCTCTTCTCTTATGGTTTGCGATGATCTTTCGTATATAAATCCACATGATCGACTATGCTAGATCGTCGTAATCGTCGTCCCACCCTAATCGCTCAAATATAGTCATCTTCTTACCCTTTTTGTTTTCGACGTTATCCTTGGCGTTGTTGTTTGTCTTATTCATATTTATAGATACATCATCGCCGTTACTCAGCATCCTTTTCTTCAGAGGGGTTATAGTAACATAATGGTCCAGTGAAGCAATGGAGTTGTTCTGTAACAGCTTTACGGGCGTCTCGGTCAAGACATTAGCTTCACCCGGAGATTGGGGCATTTCGATACCACTGTCTCTATGCCCTAATGTAGCAGGTCTAGATTTGGCCGCAAAGATCGGTTGGGGAAATTTTCGGGACATTACGGGCGATGATGCCAGGACGAGCCCTTCATCAGGCTGAGGTGCAGAGAGGGAGTTGCAGGCAAAGGCAGTTGTTTTTGCAGGTGTCGCTATGATATGATCCGCCGGCAATGTTGTAACGAGCACTGACTGTGCTGCTGGCTCACTTCCAAAAGCTGCTTCCCGACTCCGCTTCCTGGGCGCTGATGATGGTACCATTGACGAAGATGGTAGAATCTGCTCCTCTTCTATCACATTGAATCGTTGCGACATTGATGACTGCGAGTCACGCTCCTTTGCCAAGATATCATGGAACCGGGATCCAATTGGTGTTGCTTTAACAACATTCTGGAATCTGTTGTACTGTGTTGGTTTCCTAGATTCTTCGGAAATGATTAGCTGCTATGCTATTTTGTATATAACTGACTTAACTTACTTCTGAGTTGTGATAGACTTGTAACGGTCCGCCTCTCATCTGCCTCGGCCATGGCTTTCCCAACACTCTCTCTGTTCGGTCGCCTTAATGTGGAGATAGCAGACTGCAGTTCTGCTTTTACGAAAGCATCTCTTTTCTGCTTGTTCTCCGCTCTGCGCTTAGCAGCCATCGGGTCAGTATACGACGAATGTTGACCTTGCGATGTGCTCGCATCCGCTTTTGGTATGCTCGCCAAGGATAACGGCTCGCTCGCTTCTCGCTTCAATAAGGGTATGGTTGGTGTGCTTGCGGATCGCATCAAAGCGATTGCTCCGCTCGGACCGCGAGACATGCTTCGACGATTCCTTTCCGTCTCTTTAGAAAGAAAACTTTCAAGGTTCCGGGTGGATTTCGAAAGTAACGGACGCTTTGCTACGCCACCGGGTTTGGATTTCGCCTTGGGCGTTACGTCAGTTTTACGAGCTGATTTGGGAGGCATCATTACCGGGCCGCCGAGCTTCTTGTTAATTGAGTCACATTGTTCGGGAAGCCTTGCTGAGAAGCTTTTGATTACAAGTTAGCCACTAGTACTGTACATAATGATAAGATCTACCCTACTCACAATGGCACGATGATATCGACGCAGAAATCTTTGAGAGGATCAGAGGTGGACTTGGAAGATCTTCGTGAATCTGGTCTGGAGCCAGCTTGAGACTCATTTATATTGATTTCATCCAACGCTGTAGAATGCCAAATACATAGTCGATCGGCATGCACATCGAGGAGAAATGGAAGGTTGTGTTTATTTCGTTTCTTGGGCGGAAGGTCTTTGGGCGAATCTAAGGGCTCTCCCACAGGAGGCATGCCTGGGAGCTGCGACTCATTCGTGCTTTCCCGAGTCACCATGGGCTCTAAGGAGAGGATCTCTAGAATTATTATCATCTGTAGCTGCGTTTCTCGAGACCGTAACATGGATGTCTGCAGTTTGGTATCTTGTTGTTCGGTGGACTTTGTAGTCGACGACTCTTCATCGTCATTAGGGGAAGGCTTATGGACGGCCCACCATCTTCGGACATGTCCATCTTCATCAGGGTACAAACCATCCTTTCCAATCTTCATCTTCTTAGCTTTTCTTTTCCTTGGTTTGCTTTTCCCTTGTTCTTGCTCCACCTCAGAATCTTCGATAACCGCCTTCATTTCTGACTGGATTCCTGGGACTGCCTCGCGGTATTTCTTGTCAATTTGAGCCGTTGTCATAATCAAGCCTTTGAGGAACTCCACTAGATCACTCATTTCTAATGTGGAGTCGCAATCTAGATGAAAAGCAGCACGCGCTCGAGATAGCGGCCCTTTGGCGAAGTATGCTAAAGACCCCTGGATTTTGTTAGTAGCAGAAACACGTAGTACAAGTCCAGCCATACCATTGAATGATACAGAGCTTCAAAATACTGATTTCGAATGTTGTCAAAGAGACCCTCAGCAGTGGGAATATCGAGTGTCTCGTCCTGATCATGTGACGCATCAATACGCGTCTCTGTACCTAGCTTTTGAGTAGAGTCGCCAGGGGCTGGTACATCGTGGATTCTTGCTACGCTGTCTACATCAGCTGTACCGCCTCTTTGAATAGGTGTAGGCGGTCTCAAATCTCCAGCTTGGGACACTGCAGATATAGACCGGGATCTTGTTGGTTTTTTGACAAGAGACTGAATAGCTTCTATGGCAAGGCGCCTCTTCTTGTTGGTGTGGGATATTTGAGGGGTCGTCAGGGGTGCTTGTGCCACTGGTGCTAGGGGCAGTAGTGGCTGTTGCCGTATCAAGGCTGGACAGGAGACAGTGGCCAGCTCACTAAGCTGTTCAAGATCAACCCAGGAACCCAAGTGACACAGAGCATACAGAGCACTGGCCTGGCGTTCAATGGCATAGACACTTCTGTTGCTCTCAAGTCGAGCGATCAAAACAACTGGTCGGTTGCCCATGCGACTTTCGAGTTCTAAAATCCTGACATTGGCCTCGAAGGAGGCTGAAGACTCGAAGCTCCCATACGGTGAAGAGAGATCTAAGAATGAGAGACGGAGGTGTTCGCGCGGTAGAAGCATCAATGGTTGGAGACTACGAGGTTTAATGGTGAGTTTTGGAGGATGCGGCTAGAGGAGGATCAGCCGGTTGACTCGAAGAGAAGTATATATGCCGAGGAACAATTGGAACAGTTGGCTGCTGACCTTGATGACGATCAACGGACGAAGGAGTTCCTGCATGGCTGGGGAATCACCGAGTTTTGACCTGCTGGTTTCGCATGGCGAGCTTGTGATTTTACTGCCATGACGAAAAGGAGAGTCGGTGCAGGAAGACGCAATCGCCAGCGGCAGACGCGACGCGTCTGAATCCTGCACACTTGTAGACATGTGAATTAGAGACTGAGAGATACGCCATGTACGTAGAAACAATACCAGTAAAAGAAAAAAAGAAAGAAACCGCCGAACGATGTTGATTAAAGTCCCGGGAGAGCAACAGGTAGACAAATGAAGCGATATACTGTAGGTACTCGATATTATCTCCCATACACACATAGGTATGTAGATACCTACCTTTGGTACATGGATTGATTGATTAGCGCGCTGTTCTGTACTGGCACGAAGTGATTATAGCTGGGGTAGGTACCTTCCTTCAGTAAACCCGCTAGAAGGTACCTCATAAAATTCTTATCTATGACTTCACGCGTCCAGTCTTCCCAAAGCGCGTTGAGGGGCACATGTTCCTTATGTAAGTGCAAGTCCGCATGTACCTAAGTACTGTAAGTTATACTTAGTATGCTTTGAATCCCTTGCTTACCTAACCTAAATAGACAGAGTAGGTAGGGCATATGAGAATACCCATGTAGGCAGTTGGGCTAGACCTGAATGTACTTATGTACCTACTCGCCTACAGCTTCACCTCACTCTCTGCTCGCTCACCCTGTTTCTTAGCTCTGCTGGCCAAGCTGACCAGTCCACGCCCCAACGGATGGCGTAGGTATACCGATGTATGTAAGTATGGAGTATTAAATAATATATATTTACATGTCACAGCATTTTAAAGTTAAGTATATGCAGGTGGCGGCAAACCTAAGTACACTAGGTACCTTTGAAAATGACCGGGACCAAACAATTGGGCCAACTTGCCACTGAAATTGCCCCCACAGCGGTGATGATGCATTGCGGAGTTCTTAGTCCGGCCAGCCAGGGTGCCACAGGTTCAGCATAGAGGTACTATTACTATCTAAGGTAGGCGAGTAGGTACATACTTAGCTAGATAGACCATATAGATAAAAACGTACGATTCCTTTCTTTACGAATCTCTGCGTTAGCGACTACCTACCTACATACATAGGTAGTATAGGGAGCACAAGTCATTACCTACCTCCTATCTAGGTGCCTAGATATACATACAGTACAGGTAGTAAACGCCGTGACTCGCGTATGGAAGCGCCTAGTAGTGTAATTATACTAACCACTTCCTGCTCCCTACGTTACTATGTACTCATGTTCATCAGGCACCTTATGCATGAGAGGAGAATTCCGAATTATATGCGATAACTGCACAGTATGAAAATTATCGATGAATTACGTCCTTCCCCCACGATCACGATCAAGCTCCAAGCCTCATAGGGAAGCCACGGTAGCTTCGACCAATCATAGCCCTAGACTTCAGCGCAGACTTGCAGCATTATACGGTGTCAATACAGTGCGAATAATTTATCCATGATCTATTCTCAGACTACCTAATCTGGTAGATATCTCTTAGCCTCTCTGCCCGACATATGTAGGTACTTACTTATTTGGTGTCTGCTTGGTATCTGCTTGGATTTTCTAGGTACGCCCTACATGCGCCGTACATAAAACTTTACGACATTGTCCATCCCGCTGGCGATCGCTGAAGATTGTTAAATCTACTACCCCGGGTCAGTACTACTACGGTCAGCCAGTTCGTCCTTTCCTGGCCAGAGCCTGAGCCTGGTGGTGCCCGCCACCACCACTTACTACCTAGGTATCTACCTACTTACCTTATCTATTCCTTCTGTTATTTCTATTCCATCTTCCTTTCACGTCCCATGTATATACTGCCTTTTCTCACAAGGGAAAAGGGCATCCAGTTCTGAGACAACTGTTCTAGCAGTCAGTCCGAGAACCACGTCTATGTCTCGTCCAACGCTTTGAGCCGCTACCCGTACCTTTGTCGCATTGATATACCGCTATTGATATTGTTGTTGTCCGAGCTTGCCTGGATGACAGCGAGGTCTTTTGGTGACCACCGGACTCTGCCTTTGCGCCGGCGACAGCCTCGGCTTCGACTACGGCTTGGGCCTTAGCGACAGCTCCAGCTAGTCTAAGGCCATCGTAGGCTCCGTAAACATGTCTACCGAAACGTCTCCCCGTGCTGTGCGATTTTTTCATGGCGAAGCCGACGGCGTTCCAGACAAGCTCAAGCATCCGCGCCTCAACGCGATCCCCACCGATTCCGACGCTGAGGCTTCGGGCTCTGGCTCCGGCTCCGGCTCGTCTGTTTATTCCGTGCCCGACCCCGCCGATCTCGAGCGCGACGACGAGGTAGCTGCCCTGGGGCCCTACAGAGATGATGCGCTTTCTGCCTCGATGGTGTCGTTGGCGCCCAACTCGGTTGCCAACAACCCCAGCCGCCAGCGAGCCTCGGGTGCCGATGCTTCAACGACGAGTCCTACCACCAATGGCGTCAGTACTCGACCTATCCAACGTCCACACGTTGCCCGCACTCCTTCCAACACATATGCCCCGCAACGAGTGCCACAACCAAGCTTCATTTCCACCCGATCTGCTTCCCGTCGCCGTGACCCTGTCGACAAGTTCCGTGACCAAGAGCCCGCATATCTGCGCATGATGCGCCAGGAGCCGCCACCGAGCAGTTACTTCGATCCGCAGACGCCCAGTGTTGACTACTCGGATGAAGAGTCGGAGGGAGAGACCCCTTCGTCTGAGGGTGTCTTTGAGAATCAATTCAATGACGAGACCATCATGTTCCAAAGTCTGATAGACGATACCCAGCCCACGGAAGATGACTTGAGAAATCCTGCCAATCGCGAGCGGCTGGAATGGCATGGAATGCTAGCTGCAGTATTGACAGGAGATGTTGTGAAGCAAGAGAAGCGACGATTATTGGGTTCTTCCGAATTCCAAACCGCCAAGACTGCCCACAAGGCTGATTTGTGGTTTGGTGTCAGATCACAGGCAACTGGCCGGTCCTACACTATTCAACGAAAAATGATTGAGGATGCCCGGGCTAATCTCAACCGACTTATCGATGAAATTACCCGCTTCGAAGTTCAAGGCGAAACTGAAGCAGGCAAACCTGCCATTGAACAGATTGCAGACACTGTGAAGAAGATTGAGAAATGCGAGAGTCTATATCCATCCTGGAAGGCTTTGGGAGAAAAGCATCCTGCCGCTTCGTCTGCAGCCTTCCAGGAAGCTTGCGATGCTGTTCTATCATGGCACAATACGAACACGATGATTAACACTGAGCTTTCTATCCTGAAAAAATGGGTGGGTAACGATGAGCTGGATTTTCACAAGAAAACCGTGCAATCCCCCAGCACGAATAGCCTCAATAACGAGACATCGTTCTTAGACCGGCTGTTGAAGGAAGATGGTCTGACATCACTCCACGACGATAGTGATGAGGACACCAAGCAGGAACTTGCCAAGAAAACGAAAACCTTGATAAGGAGGAGCATGCTTTCGCCCATTTCGAACATTATAAAGAAAGCCAAAGCGACCCTGATCATGAACTCAGCGGCCTTCCACAAGCGACATCTACCACCATATATCGAAGAAATTCTTACTTTGATCAGTTTTCCCTCTCGACTGATCGAAGAAGTCATAAGCATGAGGCTCGTCTATGCGCGCAAGATGAGAGAGACGACACAGCAGACGCCCATTCTTCAGGATCAAATGCTCTCACAATTTGAGTTGCTTTTGAAATTGGCAATTCGCATCAAGCAAGAGACCCTCGCGATTTCGCAACCTGAGGCTGGGTGGCAGTTACCTCCGTGTATCGACGAGTCGTTCGATCAAGTTGTGTTGGACGCTTTGAAGTACTACTTCAAGCTGCTGAACTGGAAGTTGAGTAGAAACAAGAATACCTTCAAAGAGGCCGAGATCCTGTCTCAAGAGTGGGAGTTCGCGAATGAGATCGGCCAGTACCTCCAGGGAGGTGACGTTGAAGTTGCTGAGCAATTCAGTAATCTCACGTACAAAGTACTCAGCCGGCTGAGCCAGACATTCGAGCGTGAGCTTCAAAGAAAGCCCAAAGAGAGCACGGATGACATGAGCAAGAGATACATGCAAATGCTAGACTCCGTTCGTGTCCGACAAAGAATGTTACAACGATTTTCAAGACTACTGAGCGACCATTATGAGAATGTATCAGATTTGAGTATTTCTTTGGATGCTGAAGACATGCAGTACTTCTATGAACGTCTTTCCGTCACAGGCCATTTTCTTGTCGATGAGTTTGATGGCATACAGATCGTTGCCTCGCCCACCCTCATCGATCAACCCGAGAAAATTCGATCTATTTTGCGGACCTGCTTACATGGACAGACGCCGGAAGATCCAGACGATCCCTATGTATTAATCCTTCGCCCCGAAAATTATCTTGGATGGTACGGCAACCGAAGTATTCAATCACTCAACCTCGACTCAACCGACCTGAAGCTTGGCCAGCTACGCTTGTTCGCTGACGGCTCCCAAGCTCGTCTAACCCATGTGAGAAATGTGTTCTTGGAGAGGATAGATATGCATTTAGATCTTGTCGTGGAAGCCCGCTCGAATCTCCACAAGGTCAACACGAGATTATTTGAGATTAGGAAAGTGGGCTTTAAATTGTCCAATACGTTCATGGATAGCGTGGCAATTATTCGAAAGCAGACGCAGGGTATGGACTGCCATGAACTTATTCAGACATGCTTCGTATTTGCCACCGAGTTCGGGAGAAGGTCACTCTTGTACATGGACAGCAACCGCCGTCAAATGAACAATATCAAACTTACTAAGCTCGGTTTAGACTGGGTGAGCTTTATCTGCGATGATTGCAAAGTTACAGATCGCAAATCATTCAGATGGGCAGTGCCCGCTTTGGAATTTACGATGAGCATGACGACAGGTCGACATATATTAGCCTTGGGTGAGGACGAATACGCCAGACTACGCGCCAAAGTGTCCGGCTGCATGTCTCTCCTCATCTCTCACTTTGATATTTTGGGTGCGAAATCGAATCAGGCAGCGCAGTCGGAGCGGGAACGTATCGAAGCAATTGTTGGAAAGTTCCGAAAATTCGATAAGAACAGACACATTGATGACGAGGAGGCTTCAAGGCTAATACAGGATCAGCGCCTGGGAAAGATTGACGAGATTGATAATATGCAGAGAGAGGTCGTTGCCGAAAGGCAAGGTCTAGGAAGAGTCTTGGAAGTTTCTAACGAGGTCGATCGATCTTTGGCTTACCTATCTTCGTCTGCTACGAACGTCACGATAAGGTGGCAACAGGGTCATTTCGTCGGCGGCGGGACCTTTGGAAGCGTTTACGCTGCTATGAATCTTGACAATGGACAGCTGATGGCGGTCAAGGAAATACGGCTTCAAGACCCCAAGTTGATCCCACAAATCGTAGGGGCCATCAGAGATGAGATGCGCGTTCTAGAGGTCCTAGACCACCCAAATGTGGTATCTTATTACGGTATCGAAGTTCATCGTGACCGCGTGTACATTTTCATGGAGTTTTGTTCGGGCGGTTCGCTGGCTGGCCTACTAGAACACGGCCGTATCGAAGACGAACAGGTCGTCATGGTGTACGCCTTACAACTTTTGGAGGGTTTAGCTTATTTGCACCACAGTGGCATTGCTCATCGTGATATCAAGCCAGAGAGTGAGTAATCCATATTTACCTGATGAACAGCTTGAGCGCTAACGGCCCATTAGATATTCTCCTGGATCACAATGGCGTTATCAAATACGTCGACTTTGGGGCCGCCAAGGTTATTGCACGTCACGGGCGCACATTCGCCGGGGCTGCCACCGCGACCAGACCCGACAAGTCAATGACGGGCACGCCCATGTATATGTCACCTGAAATCATCACGGGAAATAAAGACAAATCCATAGCGCATTCCAAGGAGGAGGAGAAGAGGCTCATGGGAGCGGTCGATATATGGTCATTAGGATGTGTCATTCTCGAAATGGTTACAGGGCGACGGCCGTGGTCGAACCTTGACAACGAATGGGCCATTATGTATAACATCGCCCAAGGCAACCCTCCACAGCTGCCAGACTCAAGCCAGCTGAGCCCACAGGGCATCGATTTCCTCAAGCGCTGCTTTGTCCGAGAGCCGATAAAGCGAGCAAGTGCAGTAGAGCTTCTCGCTCACGACTGGATAATGGCAATCCGCAATCAAGTCATTGATGAACCTTCAACACCTAGCGATAGCAGTGGATCCGCTCAGAACACACCGCACCCTACCTCGGCAGAAAGCAAGACAAGCGCTGGGTTTGACGGGTTTCATTAGGGATATTCGCCGTTTGAACCAGTACCTGTTGCTCTTGTAGCCCCGAACGAGGATTCAACAACCTTTCCTTCGCTACCTTTAGATAGCATTCAAGGAGTTGCGACTACGCCACATGAACCAAGCACAACGCAGATTCAGCCAGTTACTGTTACGACAGGACTGATACACGCAGCACAAGAGTCTGCCAGGAGAGCAGAAGCCAGAGAGAACAGTATCAGAAGAGCGAGAGCCGAGTCTGAGTCTGCAGCCCATCTATGCAGGACAGATCAAGATGCGATTGATGACTTAGAGCTTGAGTTTGGGCCGCGCTCCTCATAACAAATGTGAACGTCGAAGGAGCCAACTGCTTCGCGGGAAAAATACACAGTTGTTCATATGATCCTTCTGTCCCTGCTACTATGAAACCTACAAGAAATGCATACTTTGGGACAGGAGTACCTATATTTACGGCAATGAAGTCTAACGGTCGCAGTCAATCAACATCTCACGAAGAGAAAGAAGAGCATCCAGGCTACTACTGTCATGCCATCGACAAAGACCTCTAGTTTCTGCCAGTAACACAACTCAATTCATCCATTTCCTGAAAGCTTGATTTTTTGGTTGCATATAGTTAGCCCACCCTTTTTTCACTTGTTATACGGCCTGGGCCGTCTGTCTCGATATGGGGTGAATGAATGAAGTGTGTATGTATGTATGTACTTATGTATGTATAAGAATGAGGAAGCTAGGGCATGGAAAAGAGTAAACGAAGCGAAACGACGCAACCCCTCTTGCTAGTTGGTTGGCCGGAATGGTTAAACAACAGCAAACGTATATCCATCTACCCTAAGCAATTATCTACTAATTAATTATGTAATTACTTTATATTCTTAAGGTTTTGGACTGCCTTGCTTGTATCTATTAGAGAGACAGCTAGGTCGCGCGTTGGTCATATCCTCATTCTCGATAAGCATAGCTGATGTTCGAATGAAGAGGTGGGAGGAACTGGTACGCATTATAATTTGAAATAGTAGAGCGTGGCAACGCAGCATGGTAGATGAGATGAACACGCGGGTTTGTATACGCCGTGAGCATGAACGCTTTAGTATTCGGGCTACCTATTGTGCATTCTCTCTGGTGTAGCTATGTCTTGAGCTACCCACCTATCCATCTCATCTGAAGTTGGCCACAGGTTGCGCCAAAGCTCAACTGGCCTTTAGTATATCATCATCCATGCTCTCTTCTTGTTAAGTACCTAGTCCTGTACATATCTCTGTAATGTGCTGTTTTTGATTCTATTTTGTGTCTGGTCATTATCGAATCCGGGGCTCTTCAAGATACATTCTCTCTATGTCATGAGGCTAAGACAAGGCCTGACGATCCTGACACTATAGTCCTGTATACTTAGGTGTTACCTTGTCTACCTGGATATAGGTCACATGCTGTCACAAATCAAGAATACTCACACTGCGTATCTATGTAGGTATGGAAAATCTGAATGATAGCTGCCGAACAGATCTATAAACCCTTCACCAGAAACAGGTTTTCATTGACTCTCATAAGAGAGGTATGGTTAGATTGTCTTCTTGGCACGCACTATCGTTACTTTCCGTTACGAGAGAGGAAATAATTTCGTTACTTGGTTGAAAGATGAGATTAGTCTTTGTGATATACTATTCCCTCGTGCATTCATCATTTGAGGTCACTCGGGTTTGGTCGTAATATTGGGATTTTGGACTGGTTGTCTTTTCCTCCGCCCCTTATAGCGCGGGTTATAAGTGTCGCTGCGAAAGCGGAGTTCCTTACATTTCTGACATATATCTCCGGCGACCTGGCCATTCAGTGTCCGCGCCGGGTTGCGCGACTTCGGAAAATTTCCGGACGCGGTCAAGTCATATACGTGGAACTGCGCTGTACCACTGGAAATTTTCTTGGGTGCCGATGCCTTGTATTCTGAGATCCGTCGAATGTTGCATTCGGTATTTGACACCCGTGTGAGAGAGGATGTAATGTTTGTGGCGATCGGCCCATGGCAAGATTGTCCTAAGCTAGGGAGGATCAGGTGGACAACGTGAATACCCCTGGATCCAGCGATTCACTACGAATGGATGGTAAGAATGACATCTTTATCTCCTAGATAACCTTTCAGGATGAAGACTACGATGTCGCGTCCCGTGGAGGTCAATCTCACCACCACCACATCCAGATACGCGGTCTTACGCAGCTTTGAGCCACATCGAACTCATTACCGAACTATCCAAACAGAGATAAAATTCCGACACGCATGGTCACATGGCTTGGGGGTACTTGGTCCGGACGAGGCTATCTTCATCTAGTCAGATATTGACTGTCTTAGACCGAGATAACTGCGATATACATGTAGTCATCCAGTTATCTGTCCAAGTTGATGTGAGGTGATCCATGTTCGATCCCTGGGAGTGAGCAGAGCACTGCGCCAACGCTCGGACAGAGAAATGCGAAAGTGTGAATATGAGTAAGTATGCAATTAGTCTTCCTGTATGTGTATGGTACGACTAGCCTTGCCAGACGAGCATGGCGATGGGCAACCTTCACATATCCCGGCGGGCGGCGGATGCCACATAGCAATGCCTCCGTATCCTTGAAAAGTCAGTCATCCCTTATCATGTTAGTCATCAGCCCGTCATCCGCAGAGATGCATAAGGTGACGTACATATCTTTCTGAATGTTCTTGCGCCGTGGGTATCGACATCCTCCTCTAAGGTTGAGATTCCAACAACAACAACAACTGCTCAGGATTATGGCAGATAGAGGCGAGTGCGGACAATGCATGCAGTCAGCTAGCTCTCAGCTGACTTCCATGTGCTCCCCTTAGTTGGGCCCAAACTTTCAGCTCCGGGGCTCACCATCATCTTCTTCGCATGAACGACTCTAGGTCTTACCAAGGCGCTCTAGTCATGGGGATTCATTCACGGAGTCTTTACGACCAGTGTTAGAGAATGCCGAGTGTGAAACGGCGATTACCAACTGGTTGTACACCATCCGGCAAGTTGTGAACTTTTATCCACACACTTCCTTAATCATCGGGCTATAGAAGCTGGATGTCGAGGCTGGAATATGGCATGCAGGATAAACCGAGGCTTGCCTCCTCCCGAGCTCGGGTGTGGTTGCACTCTGCTCAGCTGCTGTCTTCAGACAAGCTTCGCCTCGACGCACTTCTTGATATCCACGCGTAGATCATGTAGTTTTTGGTATGTGCTTCTAGGCGGTTTGCCAGAAAGGGCGAGCAGCTTGCATAGGCGACTCATTTCTTTGCCCGCCTTGGTCCTTTGTCTCCCGGCATCGTGGTTATCAGCCAGACGTATTGCCTCAATCGTAACGCAACCTAAAGCATGTATGATTTCTTCTTCCTGGTTTGCTTTTTCTCCACGTGGTCGTAGATTTCAAGGCTAGGAGAGAATGGCCCGGACCTATGGGTCCTGACGTATATGCAGCCTTCGGCGCGTGGTTTCGAAAAACGCCAGGCGGCGTAGTGAGACGCTGCGGCATGGGAATTGGCTCATCTGGGGACCCTGAGCTGATACTGTTGGATTACGCCAGGCGATTCATTATGGGAATAGCATATACGTATCGGTACAGACGGCATCGATGGAGAAGTCTCGGGATAGATAGGTGGCGAAAGGCCCGGAGAGTTGATGGGAAAGCGGCACCTGCTCACCGTGGGTTTATGCATAAACTCACTGGTAAAAGTGATATGACAAGTCAAGTGATATGGCTTCAGCCCCGCTCTGAAAAGTACCATGATGCTGTGATCGCGGAATACTAGCTACGAGCCGAAGAGACTCATTCACATGCCCGGCTGAGGGCTAGATTCTGAGCCGAGACACGTACAAGGCTGCTGTCTCGGGCGTTCGACGTGGTACGGTAGTGACTACGAACTATACTATCTAATTTGCCTCTCAGACATACGTGCATGAGCGGCAGCGAACGAGGCTTGAGACATCAGTGTTTTAGAATTCGGACGAGAACATAACAGGCTTGCGATGGCCTAAGCAAAGCTTAAGCCGTCTGTTGCCGCCCGCTGACATGCTTATGCGTGAGACACACTTGTGACGCCGAATTGTTATGCGCAGTATGGAATATGTTGGTAATATCCAGTGTTGCGCAGAGTGTGCTACGGCCGAGAGGGCTTGGCTTGAAGCTCGGCTTATGCTACCAACCGTCGAGCCACGATATCTTCGATCTGCAAGGAACAAAAACGTGGTCTCGGACAAGCGGGGTCTTGGGGCAATCTGACAATGGATGATGGGTGGATGGAGGTCCCGCACAGAAAGATAAGAGAGCTGTGTTACCAACAGGACGAGGCTGTGTACAGATTATCACAAGTTATAAGGCATGTTGGTTTTATGCGTAGAGAAAAAATCACAGCATCGCCTGCCTAGACATTATTTTTCTCTGCCGTTGTGGTGAACTGCCCGTGCGATAGGTGCTCGTCCAAAAGCCCATACTCACATCTACATCCAGTGACCAGCCGGTAGGTATTGCTTACATAGTAACTATGAGGGGGTGGCCTTCGACATTTGCCTAATCTCTGAAGGATCACCAACGACTCCGAACTATTCGAGTGCCCGCATTTGTGGCGCCCACACTTCCCCCAAATCCCCATCTCATATCCCTCACGTCACCAAATGCTGGTTCGGCTGACTTGCATTTACTAAACTAGCCAAAACAGAAATAAATCCCATTCTGCCACTTACGGCAGAGATCATCCCGATACTCGATGAGGCGAAGGGAATACTAGTGTTGGGTAACTCGGGCAGTGATGAAGGAGTTAGCTCGAAGCCCGAGAACAAGTCTAGAGGGGCATTCTTTTTGCCTATGTATGTTCTACTTCTTGCCTGGCTAGGATTACTGCAAGCAATATATATATCAGAGGGGCGATGGCGTACAGTACCCCGCATAGTAGTTGGGGCCAAGAATAGCTGGGGAGGTCTATTGGCATAACGAAGTGCACGGATGAGAGCGTCACAGTGGACTGACGTTGCACTGCTGAAGCGAAGGCAATCAGCGGCTCTGAGAGCTTGCTGGATGGCCGATATTTTTGGATAGACGCTGTTAGTCTGAGGATAATCGTATTATGTGGTCGGAGGATCAGGGCAAAGACACGCCACGTGCGGAAAGCGTCGTGTTGGTTATAAGTATGTATAGCCATCAATTGTGACTCACCGCGGATCACTCGATTAGCAATTCGGGAGCCTAGTACCCCTTGACATTGTGTTACGCAATACGAGACCTTAATATTCTGTACTAAGTTGTTATCGAATTACATCTGATTAAGTATCCGCAATTGTGTTTGAAGAGCTAATATAAGGATGTGTGCTACGTTGGTCATATGGGAATTCCGCAAGGGAGTGTTTACCGTTGGTTCGGGCTGAGGGTAGGCAGTGCGGCTTTCTGACCATGCTTGAAATAGTGGGTTCACGATGACTGAGAAAGAATTGTATATGATGAGATATACTTCAAGTGCTGACCACATATGTATTCGGTGTGTATCATCTTGATTCTTGACGACGCTATCACTAGTGTAGACAGAACACCGGTAGCGAGCTTAGATCATATAGCAATTCTAAAACTTTTGATTAAGAAATCTCGTTTACGCACTGCTAGCATGGGGTTGTAAGCAGAGCTTCACACTACGGTAGAGCTCTAAGTAAGCCCTCTTATTGTGTCCTGATCAGATGGTCTATTCATGTCCTACAGGATGAGACTAGAGAAATAGTGCTAACACTCTCAGTCAGACCTAGGGCAGAAGTAGGAAAGACGAGATCCGACAAGCTGGTTTGGGAATTAAGTGCGCGTTTATAGGACTGGGGGAGTGTTTGATGACATCGAAAAGGCTGTGATCTACAATATTGCTCACGATCCTTCTATCATCGACGAAGGATGTCATTCAGATTCATCGCCTCGCAACACTAACTAACATGGTGTCGGGGCGCGGTCGCTTACTCTACACACAAGCACCTTCTAATCTCCATCATACAATAGACTAACCAGACATGCACTACCGCGTTCGAACTCCTAGGGCGCATAGTCAGGGGTATATACTGGTACCCTGGTCCCTGGTTGAAAGAAGAGCCAGGTTGTATGCCTGTCGCCAAACACTGGACGATCCAATGAGAGCAGAAAGCCGTCACAGAAAACCTCCGAAGCTGTGGAACAGCGCCCGTTTTTCTGTTTCAAGAATTCCTGCTAAGTAAGTAGTTAAAACGTTCCCCAGCATAATCATAATCATCGTCATCATCGAAGGTCATCAGGATATGAGAGACGGAGAGAGCGAGTCGCGAGTGAATTCCAACGACGCGCGTCGCCAATGCTGCGCTTCTCCAATTTCGTGCGGGAGCGCACGCAGACAGCTGCACTGAGCGATGCTCCCACACGCAAATGCATGTGGGCTGGCTGTATTGGCACGAATGCGAACACTTCCGCCTCTTTGCATATCGCGACGGCTTCATCCGGGCGTCTATGTAAAGGAAGTTACATCGCATCTAGAAGGGCAATAAGACAAATTTTAACACTAAGCGCCCACGTGCACAAACGGGCTGGGGGGGCTTTTGGGGTAAGTAGTAGTAGGTGAGCTTTTAGACACTTCGTTTGGCCCTTCGATGTCCTCTCGAACGCTCATGCGATGCCTAGCTATAGTTAAAGTAGGTATGTCGATCAGGAGAGAGAGAGAGAGAAAGAGAAAGCCACCCTACCCCCTCATGTCAACACATCTGACCAAGAAATACTCCTGTACAAGTAGGATTTCACGATGATCGGTACTGAGTGAAAAGCCGTTATTGGGACGCTACTCAAGCGTTAGAGACTAGGGGGTGGAGGTAGCGTAGGTTTTAATCAACTTTGGTCGGGGGCGTGACCCTCGTCACAGACTAGGTAGCCCATCTTGTTTCCGCACACACCGCCATTCGACGCATCGAGATGACAAAAAAGGGTATCGGATTGATTGCAGTGTAGCATCACCCCCAACCCATCCCGCCATTATGCCGCCACCATCTGAGAATCCTGAGCTGTTGAGCCACAGACTGTATCCGTGAGGAACTCGGCAATCCGGCTGATGATACGCATGGATATACCGTATTGTAGCTGGTGTAAACGGATTCACAAGACACAGGCTGAAAACGCCTCCTTCTCCTGTTATAACAAGAATTATTACCTCCTGCCATACCTGTACACATACTAGCAGCTACCTAAGTTCACTTGGATATTGGAGGACACCTAGTCATGTAGCTTATAGTAGGCAGTAGTGTACATGTAATAGTACCGGTATTGTACATCTGAGCCGGGATTGAATGCCATTTGCCATTCATGATTAGAACTGTTGCAGATGGCTGAGCCGAGCCCCGATCTAGACCGGTGACCAGGCTCGCGATTGACCGCCTCGATCCGATCAGGATTTATGATCAATCAAGACACCTATTATAGAACACACAGAAGGGCAAGAAAGGAACAAAATGTTGGTCCACAGCCTGATTTTGTCGTCGTTCTAGAAGGACAGAAAAATTTGAGAGGGGCTGCGGATGGGGATTCAAACTTGGGGGCCAATGAGAGTCGTACACGACGGTCACCCTGCGTTTCATGGCCTTGCGCGCGGAACGCCTGTGAGCCTCTTGTTCCTCGATTGCATGGACATAGCCATGGCGAGGAATAAGGCAGGGCCGCTGCTGTGCTCCGTTCCCGAACCAGGGGGCGCTTGTCATCGGTGTTGAAGAGGCGGCCAATGGGGAAATAAGATCGCTAGGTCCTTCATCACATTCACACATCACAAATGCACAAATTCTGCAACTAGGCACACTAGTCAGGGCTGGAAGGATGTTGTGTGGATGGCGCGCACGACACGACGATACTGGAGGAGGAGGAGGAGTTAGGTATTGTGCAGCGTCATGCTCAACTTGACTTGGCCGTGCATGTTTCGCTCCGCTCCGCATCCTGATTTGAGAAGGGCACTCGGCCGGTTCGGCTCACGCCATATGACTGGCCCGATCGATCGCTGGAGGGCAACGGCATAAGTGGTTGCATGAGTGTGTAGCGGACATGATATTATTATAGGTAATATAATATAATAATGCCACAGAGCTGCCCTATACCAGCTGTCTGTTTCTACTCTACCTACCTAGTGTACTTTACACGTTTTGGTATACTACAGCACGATATACTTAGTATGTAGGTAAGCGTGCGTGCATTGTATCTGGCCACGATGCTGCCATAAGTATGCGACCAAGCAGGCTCGGACTCCGTAGCTCATAGAGAGGTTACATACCCATGTTATGCCGACCGCGCCCGGCTAAGGGGGCCGGATTATTCAAATACCTAGGTACATGACATCTGTTCATCTGTCTGTATGTAGTGTTCAGCAGACGAAACAAGTGAAGCAGGCGAGCGGTATTCGATAAACATGGACGATAATGCTGTCGTCTGTGGTGCTCATACCTAGGCCCCCATCGCCGTGATACACACTACGTAAGTCCAGGTGCAAAGCTGGGTATAGACGGGTATGAAAGGAGGGATTTAATGACTTTTTGGGTACCTACCACGGCTCTGCACGGGATTACTCATCCCTGCCTGACATCCACATCGCCAGGCACAAGTGCAGACAGGGGTCGAAGGCCAAAGTCGGTTGCGCGAGAATGATTCGTTCGTGCCTGGATTTGTGGGCTCGATCGGGTTAGGAATCTCGCAAGCCCCCTAGCACAAAAGTTCTATACCATCCAGTCTTAAGTAAACCATCAACTATGCAGACCTGTGATGATAGTGGTGGTGGTGGTGTCGTACCTACAGTAGTGCGCGTATTGAGTAGATGCTTACTTACAGTACAGTACTTACAGCAGTGGTCAGATCTGGGCGACCTGCCTTTTGCGATCTGGGTCGCGATAGGTGGTCGCGAACCATGGCCGCCGAACACATGGCACCTCTCGTGTCAAGATTTTGACTGGCGACCTGATTGCGATTGTTGGGCACGCCTTGGCAGGCCGGCCAGGGCACTGTAGTGTACCGGTACCGTATGTGAATATCGGAGCTCACGAGCTTGAAAGGAGAAGAGTCGGCGGTGTGTGCCTCCAGCCATCGGTTATTCCCTCCCTTCCCCTGAGATGGTGAACGGTAATTGCTTAGGCTAGGTAGGTTCACTATTGCCAATTGCACGGAACCCTTACTACGGGCGATGATACATTACACTACGCAATGCGGTTATCATTTCGCGTGTGTCTTTCGTTTCGTTCATGAGACGGCACAACAAATGGGGAATGGGGGCCGTTTCCGTGCGTTGAGAGTCAGCCTCGGACTGCGACGGTGCCAGAGCCGACCGTCGAATCACCTCATTCATCTACTATACTTGATGCCGGCTGTCAAACTAGGTATGGTAAAACCACATGGTGACTCGAGAGTAGCAGGATGCATACCTACCTAGGTATGTCAGGTAAGCAAGTAAATATGCCTCTTTGGTTCTGTCGTGTAATGTGTAGATACATGAAGACTACATTCCTAACCACATATTGAAGCCGTCGTCGTCATACTAACCATCATGGGTTTTTCTCACCAGCAGCAAGTCCTACATGCTGCATACGACTCTACGTCCACTACCTATGTAGGTAGTCCTACGAAGTAAGTCGACTGCATACCTGCTCAACTTCCCATTCCCAACAGCAAACTTACTTACTTAGAAGATGCAACACGGCTAGACGCAGACAAACCCTGGTCCAGAGGCTTGGGCTACGCTAGTTTCGTTTTCAGTCCCCACGACGGATCACGCCACAGGGATCGCCAGTGAACGACCCCATCGTGGTTTGTGCACCAGAAACGGTGGTTAGTCTGTGTCTCCATCTCTGTCTGCTCTGTTCAGTATTAAGTATCTGGTCTCTCGCTGGTCCATCTTCTGCTCCACAGACTGGCTGGTTTACTTAGTGTACAGTAGCGTGCCTGGTGAGGTGGCCCAATCAGGGAAACGGATGAAGTCGTGGACACCTTTTCCCATCAGTAAGTACTTAGTTATATTTCGCGGCCGTTATGAAGGGGTTGGTTCCCACGTAACCTGGTAGAGTAAAAATTCGTCTTATCCACTAGACTACCTATTCTAGCTGCCGCATAATTTCTACATACCTACTATGTATGAATAGTGAGTGACGGCTCAAGTATACCAGCGCACACACACGTGTACAACTACTGTGTACGGAGTTATTCCCTTGTTCTATCTAGATGCCAAGCAAGTGAAGATGAAGAAGGTGTCTTATCAAGATGGGGGAAAATTACAAGGAACCTTGTCTTTGCCCAGGGGGGGCTAATTACCATTATTATCCCAATAAATAAATCAATTCACTACTTACTTACAGTAAGATCTCTTCTGACCGCTACATACTTAGCAGTACGTCGTCGGCCCCTTTGTTCAAATTGCAGGTAGGTAGGTAACAACAGTACTGTAGGCAGAACATGGTCTACCATGCCTGTTTTGCTCGGTTCCTGACCGATTAGCTCGCCAGCTCTTTGGCTGCATATTTGCGCATATCTGTAGGCAAACGAAACGTGTGGCGCGGGATCAGCAGCGATGTGCACCTGTTTCTTCACGCTACACCATCCCAGAGACCATCCTGACCACTTGAATACAACACAAATATCGTACAGATAACCTGCAGCTGCATCGTGCCCCCATACCATCTGCATGCCCAGCCCAGCCAAGGTCCACCACACTGACCGAACAGCTCCCAAAGCTGGTGTACCTACGAGTATCCCTGACCCATTATGTACCCGTCTGCTAGATACTTGCTAGCGTAGAGGGGCGTAGAGACCTGCGGAGCAGATCGTTACGTCGAACTGCGTCCGTCCCCTAACAGCCGCCGTACAGTGTGGTTGTGTTATGGTGGTGGTGTTGGTGGTGGTGGTGGGAGCTGTGCTCGTTTGCCCGGCTCTCATAAATTCGCTACTCGGCCATCCTGCCGGGCTTCCCTGTTCTTCATGAAGCAAGCGGGAGCTTTCCCTGCAAGCTTATTACTGTAGCTGCTTACCCACTCCTCTTACTTAAACGCATTCTTCACTTATCTATACGACTGGATGCTATAACCTAGTGTAGGTATCCTACATATCTCAGCTGATCCCCTCCTCCCCCAACCTTTCCCAATTCCTCTCTCCAGCTGAGGAGGAGTATAGCAATCTGTTATTGCTGAGCTGGTTCATTGCCCAAGTGGTCTCCGTCACGCCTTGGCCGTGGAGAGCTTCGTGCTCCTTATCAATGAGCGGGCTCTCATAGCAGATACGCCGTATTCCAACTTTCCTGTCGCTCGTTATACCTCCTTCTCAGTCAGCCCAGCGAGCCTCGCGCTCATGGCTGCTGTGCCACCATCGGTTACCCTGGATATATGAGTGTTAGTTGAGCCAGGCACATTTCCCTTTGTTTTCTTGGGTTCCTATCACATTGACTTTGTCCCAAGCATGTTGAGCTACGAGATGTTGGCTCAATGTCGAGGAATGGCTGTTGGTACAAGAATAGAAATGCTAGGAACCCGTCTCGTTAGCTTGGGCATATAAATATCACGTTGGCGCTTAGACTAAACCAGGACTGACAATTCTTGTAGGGCCTTTCAAATTATAAGAGCAACTTGGGACCTGGGCCAATTAAGCCAGGTAACCAGCTTTACGCATATCCGACTGTTTGAGAGAGGAATCATTGGCTATATTGACATCGTCTTGGTCGAACCTCATGGATATCTTGGTCAATATATGAATACAGTTGTTTTTGATACTCGACATCTTCGTAACGCTGGTTCGACGACTTTGGAATCTGTCGACGATTTGTTATGAAGCTCACGGCTTTTCAATATCCGCCTTTCTTGGAATAATTGGGTTTTACTTGACCTTGGATCCATCATTGGACTTGGCCAAGACACCAACTTACCTACTTACCGACTGGGAATCAATGACGACTTCAATCATGATGGAAAGGCGTGATACATCGGGCCACGAAAAGCTGGTCATTGTGCTGAGTACTGTGTTGGGCTTCATCGCCATAGCTCTGGTAACAATAATAGTGATCTGGTATTTACGGAACCGGCGGAGACACAGGTTATTTAACAGAGGTCTGACTCCGATCGGCGACGAAGAAATAGCGACATGGAAAGTGAACCGGGCGGAGAAGGAGGCCGAAGCATACACGACACGTCCAAGCCACGTATCCAAGGACTCAACAAGCTCGGCAAGGATACAATACCAGAGAGGGGGAGCCCGACCCTCGACAGACGCCGTCGCATCGACGCGATCGTTCATCAAGAACAGCTTCAGCATCGATTTACCGCGGGCGCCTGAAGCAGCGGCATTCGCGCGCGCGCCGAACGCCCGTGCCGGCTTGACGGATGAGACAGTCCCCGGCGACGAGCCGTTTGTGCCACAGCTGAAACGCCAACCTTCGCGCCTCCAGAAGATGCAACCCGGGACGCCCAAGGCAACCAGTCGCTCGAACAGCCGGTCGAATAGCCGCACAAGAGCAGCCCGCAGCTACAGCCACCCGGAGAACTGGAGTGGCAGCACCGACTCGTCGCCGACGGGATCGAGGGATGGAAACCAGCGCGGCGGCCACTCACGCATCTACTCGTCGTCTTCCATCCCGCCGCGCATCAACTCGGCCACGGAGAAAGAACTGTTCGGGGGCCTATCGCCGCCCCCTTCACGCAGACCTTCGGCCATCGGACGAGCGCTGGGTTAGATCGAGCTTGGTTCTCTCATCATGAACACCTCACGTCTATCGATGGGGGCTTGGTCCTGGCTAGACTAGGTGCGACATTCTAGAGGTGGCCGGGTCCGTCCGTCTGTTTGTCTGTCGAGCTACGAAACACATATACTACCTAGAGTCTCCTCACTCAACCAGGGCTCTGGTTTCCGTATCCTTCTTGCGCCCTTTTCGCATGCGAACACACACATACCGCTATTTCGAACTTCTATCTTCCAACTACTACTATTTTCTCCCACTCCAACCTTTTTTTTTTATCACCTGGTAGCAGCGCATGAGACGCCGAGGGACTACACGCTAGGCCGGATCCACGGTCTTCACTTTTCTTACTACTTTTTCTACCGCTGCCGGCTCCTCTTGAATCCGACCTCGAATGGATGAATGAAGGCGGGACGGCGACGAATGCTCCTCCATCATTTAGAATCGCTTTTTCTTCTTTAATTTTCTCTCTCTCTTCCCCACTTTTTATATATGGTTAAGGAAGTTTCCGGGTTTGATGTTACCCGTTGAGACATGAGTGAAGGATATACCCCGCCAACAGACAGGCTGTTGATTTTCTTTTTCTTTTATTTTCTTCTCTTGGGGTTAGCTATTATGGATGATAAGCTGATAATATACCCACCACCTTTACGATGATGGTTCTCTACCCATCTGGTACATATACATACACGACAGTTTGATGAAGACATGGGCAGTTAGGTGGGATGGTATCTTGCTAGAGTGCACATGAATGGTTTAGAGGTGGTTAGATTCGGGGATGAGTTTGGAACGTGATTGATGCTGATGCTGATGTTGATGAGGGTAATGGATGGTGGCAGGGTAGAGTAAGGATGATGAGGAGCATATACTATTTGCCTCAATACCTTTTTGGACGCTGGTGCTCACTCGCAAGTGTATCATTGAAGCGAAGGATCTTTTGAATGGTGAGACTTTGGAACAACCTCTCCGCTGATCTCTACTGTAGTACAACACTCAATCAAATCAAAATTGCAACTTGCGACGATGTTCTGAACGTTTTCTATTCATGTGTCCTTCTATGCCCATATCTAAATTTGTTGTTTTGCTCAGTTTTCGATATGACGACGAGGACCAATAGAGCCAGTACATACCTATTTACCTCGCTATGACTAACCTGCGTATATAGTTATGAGTCGTATAGACGAGATGCAGGTTGAGATAGCTCTCGGCTCTCATCACGCCTTGCTGCAGACTGTTGGTTGTTTGCATGGGAGATCGAGCAAGCAGCCGGCTCGTGCACCTGTGCTGGTGTAACCCTGTAACGCCCGAGCATCTATCCCAGGCTATCACCGGGTGACAGGGACAGTTTTGAAACATGGAATAACCCAGACGGCAATGGACTTTTGTCTCACGTACTAGGCTAGGACCCAAGTCTGTTAGGACTAGATTACCGACTACCGGTAGTAGATTGGGATCTTGATGGCCGGGATGTTGAAATCCAGAGAATTGAAATCTTGAAACAAATGTTTGTGCCGCATTTCCATACTATATATATCTGCCGGGCTCCAACAAGGTATGTGATGATGCTTTTACCTTCCTTATTCGTATAATGTAGGCACCTATATATGATGGATGGGAGGATGAGAAGAGACCTATTTGACCATGAGCTATCCACCCGCAACATCGATGCAGCACCATCATTCTCTGTTCCATGCTTAGCTCCTCGATCCTCAGCGAGCACATCTCATTTCATCGTGCTATGTACTACTCTATGCCTTTTCTACATGCAGCCGACGTGATGTAGTAGTAGATTGCCCCCTGATACTTACTATGAGGTAGGTATGTATGTATGGTGTGTATAGGTTGGTAGTCGATCGGATTAGGTAGGCCCTTTACGCGTCTGTAGCGCGTCGGTGTGGGGCACATGTGCACATGCGCACATGCGGACCTGGCCTGACAATTCTACACTGCCTACATCTCTTCGTATTCTCTGGATAGCTTCCTCTCTGCGTATCGTTAAAGCTCAATTCATGTCCGACCTTGTAGCCCATTACGGCATCAGTATCCTTCATTATCAATCAAGCTACCTGGCGCCATCCTGCCGGTTCTGCGACGGCAGCAGCAATTGTCTGGTCTAGAGTAGCAATAACCATTTCGGCCAGTTAAGCACTCCGGACCATATCAAGGCGCAAAGCTGTGATTGTCAACGGCCAGTGGTAGCGTATCTCGACCTGGCTAGATTGAGCTCTCGCGCCGTCCACCCCTCGATCCTAGAGCCCGCGACTCTGCCTGGCCTCGACATGGCACCGAAGAAGATCGATCCCGCAAAACGGGGCGACCTATCTATGGCACAATTTGTATACGACGGAGATCTCGACCGGAGCGAGACTGCCACTGCTGTGCCACTGCAGCTCAAGAACACAACACCCTCTACTTCAACGCCTGCCACCCAGATGGAAATGGACGGGCCTGCTGAGACAAGTCTTCTCGGCGAAAAGGATAAGGAGAAGGATAAAGAAAAGAAGGAGAAAGAGAAGGATACTGTCACTATAGAGGTAAGCACTATTAGCTTGCCCCTCTGAATCCTGGAGGGTTGGAATCCCGAGCGTCCCTACCACTATCCCACTCTATAGGTTGTCTCGAATCTCGGCTAACGCACCACTACGATCAGGACCTCACCTTGCCAAAGTCGATTATAACACGCTTAGCTAAGGGTGTTCTACCTTCGAACACCCAGATTCAAGCAAATGCCATACTAGCCATGAGCAAGAGCGCCACCATCTTTATCAATCATATTGCTAATGCGTATGTATATGTCTCGACCCCTTCGCATGATCTATTAGCAACAGGGCAGTATGCTAATCCGTATATACGAACAGAGCGAACGAGCATACTCTAGATAATAATAAAAAGACCATAATGCCTGGGGATGTGTTTGCGGCGCTTGAGGATATCGAGTTTCCCTTCTTCCGTGAGCGTCTGGAAGCTGAATTTAAAAGTCAGTTCGCCTTGACTGCTGTTCTTATCAACTGGCGTCTTAAATGTCCTCGTACTAATTGCACGCGCGCCTTTCAGAATTCAATGACACACAGACAACAAAACGTAATACATATCGCCGCAAGGTAGCCGCACAAAAGAAGGCCCAGACGGATGGAGCCGACCCCAACACCTCCTTGATATCCATAGCCAGCACAGCCGCCGACTCCGACGCAGCCCCGCGGTCTAAAAAGCAAAAGCCAAACGCCGCCCACGAGGAATCAGCCATGGACGTCGACGGTGACGAAACGCAGGAACCGCGCGACGTTAGTGACGCCGACACGGAGCCCGAGCAAGAGCCCGAGGAAGACGAGGAAGACGAAGAAAATGTCGCCGGCGAGGAAGAAGAGGATGATGAAGACGAAGAAGAAGAAAACGACGACGAGATGCACGATCGGCTCGAAGAACGGCCAAATCGAGAAGACGACGACGACGACGACGCGCTGGATAACGACGGAGACAGCGATTAGTATCTCGCGGAAAATGAAGGGGGCAGCATACTGGATGACAGTGACGACTCACAATCTGAAGATGAGGCTTGCTGCTGTTGCTCCAGAATTGGCGTCATATTAAACATGATCTTGCCGGAGAACACTAGATGGTGATATGCAGGTTTACGCACTTAGAGGAAGACCTTTGCGTACTTTCGCGCACGAGATACACACAATGAACACACTATCATACGCTGCGCACAGTTACCCAGAAGCAAGGGAGGTTTTAAAAAAAATCACGAATTACGAAGCGAGGGGATGGAATAGCTTTCACACAGCGTACTACCTAGCAAGCAGCCTGAAAAGAGGTATCCGAGCTGGCTGAAGACATATCGTTGCCAGGCAGATAACGAAATGCTTCGAGCATAAGTATTACTTAACACTAGTCGCAGATTCTACAAATCGATTAAAAATCCACGACCCGAGAGGGGAGGGGAGGAAGGGGATACTATGCAGCGCAGCGTGTTAGTCACGCACACGTATGAAATATTCCAATCTGACAATCCATCCTCCTTCCTTGTCTTCGTAATCTTGTTATTATTTTGCTTAACGAATCGGCAACTTTCCCTTCAAATCAGAAGAACCCCGCTTCTTTTCTATATTGATGTATTCTTGTACTCCGTCATGAGATACAGATTATCCTCGGTATGTAATATATAGATCGCCTTGACTATCTAGGAGTAATAGATGGTGGATCGAGTTGGCATGTTGGATGGATACGGTAATAATCCAATTGCTAACTGATCCCAACTGATGAAGAGAACAAACCTATCAGCGTCTCGCTAGATGAGCGCCAAAAGTTTCCTTTCTTATTGTTGTGAGATAGGATAGTATTACCTCTTAGACTTTCACTGTATTTTGCTAAACCTCTGCATGACTTGGCTCGATGTAATTTAATTCAATTAACATGAATCGATTCGCTGACTTTTGTACATATAAACGCCCTATTTACTAGATACTCGAATGAGGTAGATATGATGAAGAAGTCGAGTAGTCCAACATCCATTATTTTTTTCTTTACGGCTTTTCCACGATTGCTAAAGCCGTCCACCCTCTCTGAATAAGGCAGAACACCGCTTGACACTATTGGTACTGTAGATGAATACCTAGGCAAGTACCTGAAGACGCCGAACGCCGAAATTACGGATTGAATTAGTTCATGAGGTGGAGGTAACTTAAGACTAATGTCTTGAGGTCATAAAGGGGGAAGAATCGCTTGATGAGGTGGGCTAGTTTTTTGCAGCTGCAAAGTTGTTCACTAGCTAACGCGCTGGGAGCTAGATATATAGTGTGGGTATAAGGGGTGAGTTAAGAGCTAAGCAGATCTTGCACACTCATACCCCGCGCCGGACCTGTGTTCGCGCGTCCTGACCCGAGCATCAGCAGCGCCGCCGACACCTCGTGGTCGATCTCGAGCTGAGGCCGCAGCGCAGGGCTTGTCAAAGCCGAGTGCGACGCCGATGTCGATCCCGCACAACTAGATTGCGCATACTGGTACGGCGACGTCCTTGCGGACGTTGAGACTACAGCATTAGGGTTGTAGAGCTGGTATTCTACTGACGAGGCCGACGATGCTGTCGAGTGGTGCCGTTGCGGGACCGGCGAAATGGATGAATGGTTCGACCGCGTCGATACCGTCGTCGTGGGCCCCACGACGGGTGTGTAGCTCGGCGAGGGCGCTTCCGAGTCAGTCATCTCGACATCCTCGGCTCCGTCCTCCTCTACGTCGGTGGCGGCCTTGGCGGCCCAGTCGGCTTCCTCATCGCTACGCTGCACGGGCCGGAATTCGGTTGGTGTCGCGGCTGTTGAGTCATGGCTGTTTTGCTCCTTGAGCTTCGTGATGCAGTCCTCGAGGTAACGAACGTATTCTATTGAAGCCTGCGATCATCCGGAGTTAGTATACACGATTAATTATGGTTATAGTCACTGGGCCACGACCACTCTAGCATCTGATGGCTGTATACTGACCTGTAGAATAGCGAGCTTATGCATCTCGCCCGTGCAAGCTGGTATAAGACCCTTCAGCACGGCAAACTCCTCATTCATCTTTGACCGCCGTCGCCTCTCAATGAGGCTGTGAGCTGTTCTCCTCGCTATCTTCCGGCCCGCAGCACTGGTTGCAGAGGGCTGCTTCTTGGTACTCGTTGCCTTGGAGCCTGCCGCCGCACCACTACCCGAAGCATGCTTGGCCTGACTACTTGTACCAGCGCTTCCCTTTGTAGGCGAAGGCGCGACCACCGCCTCTTCCTGAGGACGGGGCTTCATTTGGATGATCTTGCGGGATCTTGTTGGCGGCGGTGGGAGGGCGAATGCCTCCTTTTGCTGCGCCGTGGAGGAACGTCTCCTGGCCTTCACGGTTTCGCTAGGCTGGAGATAAGGCAGTGTTGACGTTGGTGAAATGGGCGACATCTTTCTGCCGGGACCCGAAGCTTTCGAGAGCTCGGGAGAAGTTATGGCCGAAGGGGGCAACTCGAAGGTCAACTGGAGCGAAGACAGCTTGGTCGAGTGATCCTGACCTTTGATCTCGGTGGATGAGGCTGGCGTAGGTGGCATTTTTGGGCGTGTCATTTTCGTATGAGGAATCTAGGGAGTTCCCTAGTTCAGTCCAGTATGGACTGTCGTTGATCTCGTGAGGTATTCAAGCCAGGTCCGGCCTTCCCCAGGGGCGAAGAACTACACTGGTGAAGGAATTACACCACAGTCTCCTAGTTCCGTGGTAGACAGGAACCACCGGGATTTGGACAGCAGGTCACGCGACACAGGGGTAAGTGATAAGGCGGCACTGGGGAAACCTGTGGAACCACGAACGCGGCTGTGAATAATAGGACCGCTTGAAGAGACGAATATCTAAGAAAGGGCTCTTTGATTTTGTCCTTTCCTCAGGCGGCTTGCTTGTCTATCTGTCAGGCAGCGAAACTGGTGGGAGGGAAAGACATCGACAGCGTTTCTTATGTCTGGCACAATCTTGTAGGCCTTGGGCAGGAAGGTAGACGGGGAGACAGAACTCCTAACTAGTAGTCCGCGTACTAGGTAGAGTATAGGTAACAATAGTAAGTGCGTAGCTAGGTATCTGCTTATCATAGATGTCATGTCTGGCATGGATGAACGGATGGCGTCTATCTCGACTAGACTATGCCCCGAGGGAGGCAGTCGGAGGCAGTCGGGGCATGATGCGCATCATGACTGATGTTGCAGGGCACGACGACCGGCACATGGCAGCGGACCAAGTCCATATTGGGTGGTTTTCGAGGGAGCAAGTCAAGCGTCTCACGATGGAGACGCAACCCAGACGCCAGACACAACCCAGACACGACCCAGACTCAACCCAGACTTGTCGAGACGAGCACGCGACCACATCCAGCTCTGACATTGGCCGACGTCAGGCTGTGGCCAATCACGCAGCGCCATTGGGGAACGTGGTCGAGCTGATGGGCTTTGCCTCTTGTGGAAGATTGGCGGCCCGTGATTGGCTGGCTGCTGTCGGTACTCAGGTACCTACCTATATATGTACATGTATGTATATGTATGTACAATACATACATAAATGTACAGTATAGACATGAATGATACATGGATGTACTTGGGTGGATGGATCATTGGATGCAATGTTGAAGATGTCTCTGGTCTCTGGTCTCTGGATGATGTCTGGGCGCCAGGGCATCGCGGCTTGAGGCTCTCTCGGCATTGCTTATACAAGCCAGTCATGTCACATGCGCTCGGATATCCATATTGGGCACTACACTTATTATATAATAACTTGAAGCATCTACGCCTCGTAGACCCTTTACCCTTTACTCCCAACCAGGGCGGCTAAACAGCCTGCGGTTCAGGAGCTAGGTGAAGGAAGTAGTTGCAGTAAGGACAAGTCCTAGGCAGCATTTGGTAGGTAATTGTAGGCGAAAGCTGAATATCACTGTCGTTAGTTTGATTACAGTTATCTGAGCCATATTATATAGGTAGGTGTGTCTTAGGACCTAGGTGCGCAGGTGGGTAGGTAGGTAGGTAGGCTACCTTTGGACCAATCCATCTAACCACATGCTGTTGTAGACGGAGACTAATTTTCTACATATACCGGCATATCGAGGAACAGGGTCGCAATAGAATGTAGCGTCAAAAGTAAAAACTATAGAGGGCACCATGGCATGTGACCGCTTGCCGGGATGAACAATAGCCCGGCTAGGGGGTTCAGGACTAGGAGAGTAAGCGAATGGATAGCAATACAACCTTCACCGTGGATGAGTTTTGTAAAGTGATAATACTATGACAATGGCAAAGAGCACCTCCTGTAAGCAGTAGATGGGGCATACACATGTGTTAAGCCGTCAAGACCGTAAGCGATACACCTCTCGATAAACCGAAAAGAATAAGGCTGGAGGTGCTAATCACTTAAAGACGCGCGTCAAGCTATTCAACTTGGTATGTATCTGCCGCTCTCTAGGAGAAGTTATTGTGTTAAGCCTCTGTTCGTTGTTGGAGGCTAAGTCATAGTAAAGTATCATAGAATGGAATTGAAGAGACCCTTTTGCTAATGTACAAAGAGAAATCTTTCACGTATAAATATTGGACATCACGGGGTATCTCAAATGTCAAGACGCGAGCCGCCAATGACTGCATCGGTATTTGCAGGAGCTCTACCGCGCAAGCCATGTCTTCATGCCTAATCGTCCCAATCCAAACAATCATGCTCCAGGATCAACTCCTTAATCCTTCCGTTCCAGGTCTCGGCCTCCATTGCCACTACTTTGGCACTCTTACCGTCCAGCGTCTTGGCTGATTTCTTGAAGCTCCGGTGCCGGCACACGGCATACAGCAGCTCCGGATCGCCGATTTTGGTTGCGTAGTGGATAGGCGACCAGCCATCCTTGCCTATGAGCGAACCCACGTCGTTCCGCTGCAGGAGCGTCATAGCGCAGTCCACGCTAGAGTTTGAAAGCGCTTCTATTAAGGGCGTGTTCCCGAGGTTATCTCGCGCTACTAGCGGACCTGGGCTGTTGGTCATCTTAAGCATCACCTCCAGCGCGCCGTGCTCTCCCTGGGTGCAGGCGTGGTGGAACGCGTTCTTCCCGTCGTTGTCCGTCACGTCGACTTTGGCGCCGTGCTGGATCATAGTCTCGACACATTCCCGGTCGTTCAGATAGTCGAACAGAGGCGGCCGACCATGGAGATCCTGTGTGTTAATATGCTTGGCGCCCATAGCAATGCACAGTGCCGTGATGACCTTGGGTCTTTCAACCTCCCGATCGGACGACGCTGCGAAGTGGAGCGCTACCCGGCCGTTCTCATCTTGGATGTTCGGGTCGGCCCCAGCGTCTAGCAGCAGCTGGACGCACGACGCCGAAATGCAGGACGCGATATGGACGGCCGTCTCGCCCCAGCTGTTGGCCTGGTTAATGTCTAACTCGTCTGGGCACATGTGCCTAATCTTCAGTGCCGTCTCTAGGCCCCCGCTGACCTTAGACTCGACAGCCGCATGAATGATGTTAGCCCCGAGGTTTGAAAGAATGCTACAATTGGCGCCGTATTTCACCAAGGTACGCATTTCCTTCACACGGCCCGAGTAAGCGGCCCAATGCAACGGCGTCCAATGGAATTTCTTATCCTTTTCATCAATTAGGCTGTGAATAATCTTGGTTCCCTTCGGGCTTTCGAATGCCGATGCTCTGAAGTACTCGAGAATCGCTGCGAAAAGAGGGGATCTGGCTTGGAACTTCAACTTCCACTGTGTCCAGTTGGTGCTGACTGGCGCGTTGTTGGCATCGTCCACAAGTTCCAAAAGCCTAGGCTTGATTAGCGAGCCCCTAATGCTCCTGGAGTATTGACCATACATACTCTTCTAAGGACGGCCTCTCAGAATGCTGGTGCCCATGCATGTTCAATACACAGAGATGGATGGGATTGAATTCGAAATCGGCCAGTACGTCATCCTTCTCCCCGAAAATCTCCACGATCTTTTGCTCAGATCCGTTTTCCCTCTTCCCCATTGACTTTAACACGGCTAAATCTGCAGGCGTCCTTATGTATAGTTTAGCGCACGGTAGGGTCAAGAAGCATACAGAATGCTGACGACTGGCTTACCTAGAACCGACATCTCCAGTTGAAGTCGCCACGCCGAGGTCTAGCAAGTACTTGACAATATGTGCATGGCTATGGTAGGCCGCAGACTAGAGTTGCGAGGTTAAAAATACTTTATCCATACCCATTAGCGAGCCAACTTACATGAAGCAGTGACCAGCCATCGAGGGTTGTATCCCATATAGTCGCTTCTCCTGACTCGATGCATTCCTTCAGTTTCGGGAGGTTGCCGTGATTTACGTAACGCACTGCATTGGATCCATTAGGGACCATTCGGAACGACTGGAGGTCATATCGCACTTGAATCACTCTCGTCGATGTGGCTTTGGAAAGGGCTGAGCGAAATAACGACGAATACTCTTTAGAACTATTCGGTACCATCTCATTCCCTAGGCAGATAGCATCGGTACATTCTATTTTTCGAGGTTTTGAGCGGCCGAAGCGACGCCGTGGCTCATCCGCCATCTCCTCATGGCATGCGCAGCGACAATTATAACGGCATGATTTACGAAGAATAAACATATCCTGGGAGACCGGCTGTATTGCCTGTTGAGAGGAGTTGGTTGTCGTCAGGGACAACTTCTCCGGGTCATTGCCTTTACATCCTAGGCCATGAGTTGAATTCGCCGAGCCTACGGTCGTATAACTCTCGATGCTAGCTGCCGAACTAAAAACGGAGAGTCTTTCCATGTACGACGCAGTATCTGACACACTACTACCCCTTTCATCCGAGCTCACACTATTCTTTCTCGCATACCTCCCGGGGGAGGTTACGTGCAAGCGAGAAGGGTCAATTGGTTGAATTTTGCTTGCTTCGCTTTCAGCTGTCGCCGCCAGGCGCGCGGATTCGAATATCATGAAATCTGGATACTGGCTCGCTATGGTCAAGAAGGTCTCGCTGCCCTGAAGATTAGCCTTGCCAACAGATGAACCGCGTGGGCTCGTATGTTCTTACGCTTGCGTGATGGATAGAAACGTGTGCAGCATGGCTATCTTCTCCCTTACCTTGCCGTGCAACCTCTTGAGAGCCGATTTGTGCTGGACCCATTTCGCTCTCCGCACAGGAGACAGGCTCGAGCTCGACAACTGTAACAGTCGGTCCCTGAGTTCGAGAACAATCTCCATGGAATTCCTCAACACATCCTCGAGAACAGGGCTAGAAACGCGGTGTATCGTATGGCGGCTCCGCAAGATCCGGTCGAATCCACAAAGGGCCTCCATGAAAGCAGCAACATCGTTCCGTAACGCTATAAGCTCCTTATCTCCATCTCTGAAGGCCTCGAGGATGTCTTTAACCTTGTTGGCTGCCTCAATGAGCTGAACGATTGATGACACCAAACCAATGACGGTGACGGGGTCCATTTGGCAAGGCTGGTCAGTCCTCGGCGAGTCTCGATTTAGACACCGTCTGCCCCGCCTCTCTCAGCTGGCGCTCATATGCTCGTCAGCAGTATCTTTCAGTTGCTGTTGGGTACATGTGGTTCAGCAGTCGGTCGGCTGCGATCATATTCAATGCTACATCGAAAGCACAAAAGCGAATAAAATGAGGAATATGGAAATGAGGAGAACTGACAGCCTGAGTAAAGCAGCGAGCTGAACCTACAGCTACCGGACGAACTCGATTCAGTCATTCAGAATTAGTGTCTGCTCAGGGTGGTATTGGGGGCCAAATCATGCATTATGTTAGCCAAACAGAGCGACGCCACACCGTCGCATCACACCGCAAGACTGTTCGGGGGGTTGGGGGTCAGCGTCGAAATCTAAATATCTAGTAGGTCATTTTAAGAATCGGGACTAGATCCCGTTATTTTATTGTAGGGCGCCCGGTCGTTGTCTTCGAGGATTAGGGATCGGTTGTCAATGTGACTGTAGTGTTACTGGCCACATCACAGCTATTGCGTTACTCCTGTTGTCAGGAAAAACGTGGATCGTCGTCTCGCATTATCTGGAGGGTCATCACACTGAGCTACACAGTAGGCCAAAGGCATACTGTAGACAGGGGGTTGCGGCCCCGCAGTTGAAATTCGCCTGACCAGTCGCTTGCAGTATGGATATAAGCCACAGATTTGTTCGAGCAAACAACATCAGACCATGAATTTCCCGGACGATACCTTCCGGGCGACGATATATATGATACTGGCGTTCGTTGACTGGGCTACATCTGATTTTTGGCATTGCTTTCGCGCACGCTCTCAAAATCTGCTCAGCTCACAGCTCACGGCCCACACGATCACACAATATCATAAGGCGCTTATGGCGGCTCACAGCTCAACGGAAAGCCCTGCTGGGCTTCCAGTTGACAACCCAAGCAAATCATACTGGCTCTCGGAGCCATCCGAGATTCTCCTTGGTCATCGCACGACGAAGGATCTGCCACAAGCTGCTGATGTCGTCATCGTTGGGAGTGGCATTACTGGTGCCTTCGCAGCCCACTGCGTGAAGGAAAAGGCCCCCAATTTGAATGTTGTCATGCTTGAGGCGAGAGAAGCATGTTCGGGCGCTACGGGAAGAGTAAGTTCTCAGTGTTATTCCTATGTCTTGGAAAGCACCAATCGTGAAGCCGGGTAGTAGCGGCGCAATTTGGTACGGTTGTGGTGGCGTGTGAAAGTGTGTGTAGACTGCGAATGGTGTGGTGGCGCACGATATTCCTATCACCCTGCAGGGTAAATTGCTTCTTTGATGGCCACGAAAATCCCGGGGCTACCTCCGCGATTCTCCTGTTCTGATGCAGAAACATGAACGCTCAGCCCCTCTATCAATCCTCAAGCTAACAGTCATATAGAATGGTGGTCATTGTCAGCCGGCATATTATAACTGCCCGCCGCACGTCGCTGCCTTTGAACATCGAACATATTCTTACTTGAAAGCCTTGGTTGAATCACATTCAATTCCCTGTGATTGGCATGTTACAACTGGCGTACACGGCTACTACTCTCTGGAGCTCTTCAATGCGACTAGGAAGATTATCGAAAAGATCCAGGAGGAGCACCCGGATATTGGTGCAAACATCACAATTGTGACGAAAGGGAACGATAAACCTTCCTCGAGCCCAGGAGGAGGTGAGAAGATGGAACTGACATTGGAGGGCTTACGAGTCGGTGCTGCCGAAGGCGCTATCGTACAACAGAATGCCGGTAGCCTCTGGCCGTACAAGCTTGTTGCCTTTGTACTAGAACGCCTGTTGGCGGCTGACGGCTTCAATTTACAGACAAATACCCCGGTTACCGGCTTGAAAAGAGGCAGCGCACCTATGGAAGTCTCCAGCCGCGACCCTGGTGCCGGCGAGGTGGCCTCTAGAGGTTGGACAGTTCGCACATCCCGTGGCGACATCTCAGCCCGCCATGTTCTCCTCGCTACGAACGCGTATACTTCATATCTACTTCCCCAGTTTGCAGACATCATCGTTCCAGTGAAGGGTCAGGTATCTAGCCTCAGGCCACCACCACAGCCTGCTAAAGGCCCGCTAAATATCGAACACACGTTCTATTTCGTATCAGATCTAGCCGACCGCCGGGACGACTACTTAGTACAAAGACCTCCGCCTGGCGCGGAGCTGATTTACGGTGGCGGACGTATCCGTGCGAAGGGCCATGGGCTCAGCGTGTGGGATGACAGCACCATAGACGAACCAGTGGCACAATATCTAAGAGATGAGCTGGGCGGCTTGATGGATCTCTCGATACGCGAAGAAGGAAGGACACAAGGCGAGCATGATATCCAATTACCGAAGCAAGATCTCGAGCCGACATTTCAATGGGCAGGCATTATGGGATACTCGCGCGACGGCTGGCCGTGGGTTGGCCCCGTGCCGACGAGTGCTGGTGGAGGAGATGGGCTCTGGTTGTGTGCCGGGTACACAGGCGGGGGCATGCCCAACGCCGCCCTCTGTGCCAAGGCAGTTGTCAATATGATGATTCCTGGCAACAACGACGGGGACAACTTGGCCGACCAAATTGATCTACCCCCCGAGTATATACTTACTGAGGATAGACTGAAGAAGGCTAGAACATGTGAAACCATTATAGAAGCAGACATAAGGGGCGCATTCATGTTAGATCTTGATATATTTTGATGAATTAGATATTAGGTTAAAGGAGATGAGACGAATTTGCTAGTCAACTAAGGGCAACATTATTCTAGCTACACCCACTTCTGTCACATTTAGTAATTTGGTGAAGCTCCTTGTTGATGGCTGTAGTGATCCTTCAATTCGGGGTTTATATTCCCGTGGGCCTGAAGATCTAGGCAAAACTGAGATTTTCGACGCTGGACCACAACATGTCCGAAATTCCCATTCGAGAATGTGTTTTGCATACATTGGGAAGACTCCCACAGTTTAACATAGCTGGGTTACCACTCCTCCGCCTCACTTTGAGCAGCCTGGATCACAGCTTTCAGAGAGGCAATCTGGTCGTCAGGCAGGCATTCATGCCCTCTCGTGCTCGTCGAGCAGGGTCAATTCGCTATCAGATCTCTTTCAGCAACGAGACAACGGATATTAAGAACATTTTCGGTAGGTATTGTATCAAGGCCACTATTATGCTGGCGCGCCCAAATCGTCTATACTTGCTACCGGAGGCCCAGCAACTATGCTTTTCTCTAGCGCTATCTTTTTGAATTAGTGATTCGTTGCGAACTCTTCCCTACGAATATAGAATAGCCTAATGGTCAAGATCGGGTAGAATGACCACGCGCTGCTGTACTCCCAGCACTGGAATTGCCATCGCCTTTCGGATGATTTCTTTATCGCTTAAGCTGGAGTATTATATATAAAGCAAAGCTTAGTTTGTCAAGAGTAGTACATGTGATCCCATTCAATATCTAGAAGTCTAAGTTACAATACAGTTATCTGGCTGGATGAAGGTCTTATATACAGATTCCCAGCATTCCAGTATGTGGAACGCAAGTATCACCGCCTTCCCTTTCTGACATAGTTATATTAAATATACTATATTTACTATAAGATGAAGAACGGTCATAGACTTCGTCACCCAGCTATATAGACAACCTAGCCACTGAACAGAATTATCATACAAACTGCAATACAGTCAACCGGAAGGCTGGGAGTCGTAAATATAGTGAAGCAATAGTTATATATGTTCATGCCATCTGTGCGGCATTGCCAAGCCGAATCATAGTGGCCGCTAGGGGTCCAAGTATATAACATTACATGTAACCTAGATGGGGAGTCGGCTCCCGGATTGTATGTACATTCCCCTTATAACTACTTTGTGGTTTGAATCAAACTCGCCGCATTATAAGAGATAGATTGAATGTCCGGCAATTCTTACGAATGTGTGGCTTTTGGCCTTAGTAAAAACTGGGCTACCAAAGAATAAACCAGGGACGGTGGCGTGAAAACCGGCATGAACGAATCTAACGGTTGCTTCATCTATGGTAGCGCTAATTTAAAGTTCCCCGTGATAGCCAGTAGTTAAGGGTTGTGAAGCCGCCAGCAGACCGCCTCAATATGAAGAGGAGATAACTGCGTACTCTAAAAGAAGTAATAAATAATAAGCTGGAAAGCCGAGTCCGAGCAGTCTCTGCAATACCGGACTGTGAAAATGAAGGGAACAGCCCCGCTTTGAAGACAGGGACTTGTTGTTCCGTGGCCTGCAGCTTTCGCATCCGCAAAAAGAGGAGATGAAGCGATTCATAACACTTCCGTGAGGCAGTGTCCAACCAGAGTCCAACTTTCGAATATCAACTCCAACCATGGCTCGAAATTCAGTAAATCGTAACTTTTTATCAATTCGCCCTCGGGGTGTTTTCCTTAATTCCGCGAGACGATTCGATGACCCGCCTACAGGGCGATCCGAAGAATCTAGCCTGGGCTGGGGGTCTATTCATCATCGCCAACCTAGCGTGGGCACATCACTCGGTTAGTTAGCTATTATCCGGACGGGTAGCTGAACAATATTGTTTCGCAAACATTCCAGAGAAAGCTCGGTGCGTGATTATTGACCTGAATACGGGGTTGATCGCCGGCCACCGGGGAGGTTTTATTATTATGCGTCTTCTGCAGTAGCGAGAACCGGTCTGAAGTGGGCGCTTCATCGTTGCCTTCAAAACAGTCGCGGATAACTCGGCTACCAACATTGATAGATATTATCATCGCCGCCGTTCCACCGTTCAATGCTTGTTACCAAGCCAAATCCGACGTTGTGCATATAGGTACAACGTCTGCCGCTTAATCGGCTACACTGTTGACATATGGTAAGCCTGGGCATAAGAGAAGAAAACCAAGTTTAGTTCGAGTAGGTAGTCTATCTATTTGTTCACATTCAAACCATGAATTAAGTATGAATACCAGTAGGGGAAGATATTAATATTTTAAACAGTTCGCTGACTATACATAAGTCATGGTAGGTGAATCCTTCTGGTACTATTTAGACTTTAGTTTATATTAATACATACCAGCTACTAGTAATGCATCCTATTATGCTAAGGTTGGTCGGAACGTACACACATATTCTAGAGGACATGCCAAATGATGTAACATTTACGTATTACTCAGAGGAGCATAAAACTGAATTTATGTAGCATTTGAATCACTAATATGGTTACATACGACCCTAACTTGAGCTGAATGTTGGTCGGAACATACTCTAGGGGACACGTACTCCAGAGGTCCTGCCAAATGATGTAACATTTGGGTATTACTCAGAGGAGCACGAAACTGATATTTATGTAGCATTTGCATCACCAATATGGTTGCATATGACCCTAACCTGAGCTGAATGCTGAAGAAACTAGCCTCAATAGCGCGAAACATGTCCGACTGCTAAGAGTTTACCTACGTGACTAGTGATGTTGGTTAAATCGATTCCATGGATGCTAGGTGACACGATCTATGAAAATGCAAGTCTTTCCAATTTGGAGGAGTTGGGCAGGTAGCATTCGACAATAGACCAAAACCCATCAACAATTTGATGGAAGGCCGGTGTAAAGGAGCATTCCGCAGGCCGTTACAGTTCTGCCTGGTAATCAAATATATAAACTAATGCTCTTCTCATCAGAACAGAAGAGTTCTAGAGTTGTTAGACATCAACAAGAATCTTTGGCTCTTCTCGCTTCCTCGAATTCCCCCCCCAACCCACTGTCAAATATTCATTGCTGATTTGCTTTTCAACTTCTTCACGTATTCATTATTTCTTCGACTTATTCCATTCATCTGCAGACATGGCTTCCCACTGGCAGAACCTGATCAATAAACGAGTTGCGCTCGCCAAACTCTGCCTTGCCACCGAAAACTTTACTACCTTCCACGTTCTTGCGGCACAGCAGGCAACAGCTCCATCCGCTCGTGATGATTTGCCAGCTGATGTCGTGAGTACTATTGATAATCTTAATATCGATACTGTCGATACTGGCAAAAAAGATTACAAGGACTTCTCAGACGATGTAGAGACCTTGAAAGACCAGCCGCCAGACGAGGAGCTATGGAAAGCGAAAATTAATGAGGGCGCCGAGAAAGCGAAAGAAAGAGCCGTTGCCGCAATCGAGAAAGGGAGAGTTGACGCTATTGCATATATCGGGGAGTTACCCGAGGCCGTACGTGAGCCTGCCAGCAACCTTTGGAATGAGGGCTTAACCACGGTTATGGGCTTCATCGAGAATCTCTACCAAGGCCTGAAGGATATCATTCAGGCCATCATGGACTTCCTCAAAGGTATCTGGGACAAGATCACGACCACTTGGAATACAATCAAGTCCGCCGCCCAAGCTGCTATCGATTTCATTGGGGGTCTTTTTTCACTCAGTGCCCCCTCGGCCAAACCTACCTTTCTACCCGCTTCGACTTCGCTCTCTCATGTGCAGCGCCAGATCGGATCCTACCTCAAGCAGCTCTCTTCCAGCACTGACCCCGTTTCCAGCGTGACTGTCAACAAGCAGAGTCGAGGATGGGAAATCACGGTCCTCTGATGTAGACCTGCTCGAATATCGGTTTCATACACGCCGTCTATTTGAGAAAAAGTTTCAATTCTTCATTCCTCGCCATTTTTTCCCCATGAAATTTTGTTCAATTAAGGGTAGGACACGTCTGGCTGAACGGAAAGGCTTCAGCAATCACGCTCAAACAGCAGAGAAGGCCCATTGGCAGGCTTACTATGGAACCAAATGGGAACGCAGCAGTCCAGAATGGGATTGGTAATGAAACAACGGTATTGGAGGTCGCAATTTTACAATGTAGCTAGTCACTCGTTTAAATCAATAAACATATATGGCGCGGAAGCTGTTGATTGACTACGTGAGACTGTGAGTGGGCGGAAACTAAATCATGGTTAAGGAGAAATTGACCTCTCGCTTTGCTCTAATTATACAAAGCAAGAAACCACTCGCTAACTAGATGGTGGAATATAGTTTTGGCAACTCTCATGTGCGAACCTGGTAGACTAGAACTGTGGTGGCACCCAAGACAGCCTAACACGTTGCAATGGAGCAGAGTGTTAAAGTCTGTGTATAATACGCAGAGACCTGAATTGACTATCTGATTGAGTGAAGTTGTTACTATCTAGAAGGTTACTCTAAAGTGAGTGCTGGCCGAAGTGGAAGTAGATTGCCAATAGTTGTCACATGACTGCCAGCGTCAACCTAGCAACCCAACAGCAGTGCAAGATAATCCTAAAAACAAATCCAACTTTTCGACTACCCATTTAACCGATTTCCCGGCCAAGATCATATGGTGGTAAATGAATGGAAATAGCTGGATTACTGCCCATTTAGCTCGGCTCATAGGAAAGGAGATCGCGATGAGATAGTAGGCGAAATATTGAGCAGAGTTGCTCTCAATGCTGACGAGTATTATGTGGTCGGCGACGGCAAATTGTCGAGAACTAACACGCACATTCCTCAGGCTATACTAATCATCGGTCTTATCTCATCAAATCATCTGAACTACGTAGTTGACGAATGGGTCACCATTGGTTCTTAGCTAGATGTTATCATAAGAGCATTTAGCCTAGTACGATTAATTGTTGAATGAGTCACCTCTCTATCTGTCTTGACACAGATAAAATTGCCTTCTGTCATTCTATTGACGGTCAGCTCATTTCAACTAACTTACCACTTAACAATGAATCTGTTTATACATTGACGAGTATACCGGGACCTTAAAAAAAAAAAAGGGGGGGGGGGGGGGGGGGGATAAAAAAAGTTTTACCGAAAACAAATTAACAAAATTAAAAACGAAAAAGTTGGAAACCCATAGAAAAAACAAGAAGATACAAAAAAATTTTTTT